CGTAATTTTCATTAGCGGTTCTGCGTCTCTTATTTAAATTAGTATTGAGTCTTTGACTCTGTCTCCTCCCGTGTTGCGACGCGTCGAGATTTCCTCGCGCGTCAGCAGCACCGAAATCGAACGATATATCGTTTAAAAAGTGCTCACCTGTGAATTCGGCGCTTGCGGATTCACTGGGAGGGTTTTTATGCCCCTCCGGCAAATCGGCCGATTTTCGATGATGATCGTCCATCTCAAATAACCGATTTTAAGAGCGAAATTTTTGATTTTATACAATAATCAAAATATAAATAGTTTGAAAAGGTTCATGAACAGATCTCCGATGGCGCAATTGGCTAGCGCGTTCGACTGTTAATCGAGAGGTTGGTGGTTCGAGCCCACCTCGGAGAGTGTTTGATTTTTTGCGCTTGTATTTTGGGTAATTGTTCTCAATTTTTTTTTATATATCCACTGAGTGTATAAATATCCATTATATTAAATTTTGAAAAAAACTAAGACTTGCCAGACAAAAATCGCTAGAGTGTTTTGACTGAAACTACAGAAGTAAGTGTATGTTCAGACAAAGTACAAAAAGAGATCAAACATTTAGTTATTAATTATGTGTGAAAACAGTATAGGTACGGGGATAAACTATGTACCGCTCAATTCTATGCGATGGAATTCATGGTTGCGTCATAACAAAACAACCTTGTATGGTTGTGATGACTATTTACAATTGAAATGTCAACAATCTTAGCGGATCATAAGATTTGAGCAACAATGAAATTACCAAAACAATTCAACGAGCATGATAAATGAAGTCTTACATTGCATCCTTGGTGACGAAATACTGAAGTATGTACATAATAAAACAAAAAGTACTGAAATTTACTGTTTCATAAAAAACTTCGAAAATCCCAACCTCTGCGTATTCCAGTATATTCAAAGTCTAACAATGCGATGTAACACTAGCCAATAGAAACACGTTGAAACAAACCCCCAATGTCTAATCGAAGATGATCAAGGTCTATACATATTAAGACAGGAGAATTCTCGATCCTTTAGTTCATTTTGCTTAGCTTAAACATAACTTTCTCCTTATGTTTTCAACCATCAACCATGGTAACAATCGTCAATCGAGCCATAATGAACAAATTAAAGCATTAGGATTTATTGGACTTGGTATAGCTTCTGCATTTATGGGCATATTTGCACACAAGACCTTAGTCAGACGTATAAAGAATGCTGATATGATCAGCGTATCTATGATTGAAAGACAAGCAACGATTCGTGGTGTAATCACGCGTGTCGGTGACGCAGATAATTTCAGAATGTATCATAGACCTTTACTCAGTCTAGATAGTCGATCGAGTATTCTCCAAAAGAAGTTGACAGCTGTTGATACGATCCATGTACGTCTTGCTGGAGTAGATGCACCTGAGGTAGGCCTTTCCTTTTAGCTATCTTTGTGTTTTATAAATATTCTTTAGACTTCACACTTTGGTAAACCAGCCCAACCATATGCTAATGAAGCATTGCAATGGTTGAAGCAGAAAATCACAGGGGAGAAGGTCGCCGTTAAACTCCTACGCAAAGACCGATATGGTAGAGTTGTAAGTTATTTCTATAATGACTAACATCATCTAAGATACGTGTAGGTTGGAAATGCACAGCTCTGCGCGAAATGGTACAGACCGTGGCGTAAGAATATATCGATGGAGCTGACCAAGGGTAGGTTTATTTGTATATTCCATACCAAACTCATTAGATTAGCCGGTTATGGTGCGATATACGAACAAGACGGTGCAGAGTAAGGTTTTCTTTTTATCATGGGAATACGTGTCTAATAGAAATAGATACGATGGTATGCTAGATAAACTCCGCAGAGTGGAAGAGCAGGCGAGGTACGTGCGTACCTTCCCCAGATAACTTCTAACGAGTAAAAAGGCGGAAGAAGCGCGGAATGTGGAAACAGAAGCACGTCGAGCTACCATCTACCTATAAAAAGAAGCTCAGAGGATAGAAATTAATGTGATAATAGAGAGACCGATGATCTCAAAATAGACGCGTTTTTTTTTGTAACGAAATATATGTATACCTACAGATGGGTGAGAGAGTAACGGAATAGGTTAGAGGAATGTGTTTCCTAGATCATCCGCTCAGTCAAGTACCTCAACAATCAGACAATTGCGGCAGATAAGGGATTTTAGATTTGAATCTGGTAATTTTACGTGTAATAATGCATTGAACGTCGAAAGCGATAAAATACCTGCCGAAGTCTCCACATTTGAGATCACCGTACGTAGCCGAATATTGGCGAAAGTTCGCGAATGGATGAATGAGTCCTAATAAAGTGTGGATAAATAGTACTAATAAATTTATCATTCTTTAGTTTTTTACAAAATTTGATTTTTAAATTTTTTTCTCGCTTCACTTGGATTGGTTGAGAAAATCTCAACTCCTTAGTTCTTAACTTCAAACTTCGAGTGCGTAAATACCAGAAATGATTGCTTCAGTTTCTAATAAAAAATTCAGCCTTCGCCATGTCTGTCGCAGCTCAGCCTCCAAAGCAGAAAGACACTAAGGCTTTCCTTACTGACTTCATGATGGGTGGTGTTTCCGCCGCTGTCTCAAAGACCGCTGCTGCACCAATTGAGCGTATCAAGCTCCTCGTCCAAAACCAAGATGAGATGATCAAGCAAGGCCGTCTTTCCCACCCATACAAGGGTATTGGTGACTGTTTCGCCCGTACATACAAGGATGAGGGTCTCGTTTCCTTCTGGAGAGGTAACACTGCTAACGTTATCCGTTACTTCCCAACCCAAGCACTTAACTTTGCTTTCAAGGATTACTTCAAGTCACTCTTCGGTGCTAAGAAGTCAGACGGCTACTGGACTTACATGGCTGGTAACCTCGCATCTGGTGGTGCTGCTGGTGCTTCATCATTGTTATTCGTCTACTCCCTCGATTACGCCCGTACCCGTCTCGCCAACGACGCTAAGTCAGCCGCTAAGGGTGGTGGTGAACGTCAATTCAACGGTTTAGTCGATGTCTACAAGAAGACCGTCGCTTCAGACGGTATCGCTGGTCTTTACAGAGGTTTCGGTCCATCCGTCGTCGGTATTGTTGTCTACAGAGGTCTCTACTTCGGTATGTTCGACTCATTGAAGCCAGTTCTCCTTCAAGGTTCATTGGCCAACTCCTTCCTTGCCTCATTCTTGCTCGGTTGGGGTGTCACCACCGGTGCCGGTTTGGCTTCATACCCACTCGACACCATCCGTCGTCGTATGATGATGACCTCAGGTGGTACCGGTCCTCACTACAAGTCTATGATGCACTGTGCAGCTGAAATCACCAGAGCTGAAGGTGTCTCATCATTGTTCAAGGGTGCTGGTGCTAACATCCTCCGTGGTGTCGCTGGTGCTGGTGTTCTTTCTATGTACGACAAGCTCCAAGAAATCCTCTTCGGTACCGTCTACAAGTAAACTTATTGATTTGATTAATGTTCCACATAATCTAAAATTTGACTTCTTAGAAAAAATATATACTCTTTCTTTACAAGTTTACTGTGCTTTAGATGCGTTCTTCTTGAACTCTTCCACCCACTTCTTCTCTTTATCACCTTTTGGAAGTACTATGAAGTTGAATGCACCTTCCAATAATGGAATACCATCTTGCTGTGATGACTTACCCTTACTAGCTGCTGCTAATACCTTTGAAAGTGTTAATCCCATACCTACTTTAAGTAATTTGCCTTGTTCTGTTGCTACATAAACTGAGACAGCAGCTTGCCCAGCATATTCACCAGCTTCATCCCATGGTGGTGGTGGATTAAGCATAGGGTGAAGTTGATCATTGAATGTAGACAAAGTAGAGAACCCTGCAATATGTTCAGCCATTGGTCCGACAGGTGAGATTGGGTAGAGGATGTTAGCTGGGAATTGAATTGGAGTAGTTGGTGAGGGTGCTGACCAGATGTTTGGTGGGAAAAGTGGTATTGAATCCTTTGATGATTCTTCTAAGTAGTTTGTATCGAATTTTACTGGATGGTCTCTTTTGAAGATGTCTCCTTTGACAATCGCACCTGAGAGCTATTGTGGATATTATTAAAGATGACGACTTTGTAACCAAGATACTCACTTCAATCGCATCCCTTAATGCAGCCATTGACTCATTCTTTCTTCTTTGTGATTCCGTCACTTCAATTTTACGCTTCAACTGAGCTTGATATTTAGTTTTGATGTGTTGAATCAAAACCTGTGCTTGTTTGTTCTCTGGGTCTAATAAAAGAACGTGTTTTACTGCATCTGTAGCTTCGTCATACTTTTCTAAAGCATTAAGGGCTCTTGCTGCTCTATAGAGCGCTTTTGTGTTACGTGGGTTAATCTTCAATGTCTCCGAAGTATCTCTAAGTGTTTGTCTAAAGTTTTGTAATTCTAAATTTGAAGCTGCTCTGTTTGAATAGATTGATTCTAACAATGCTTTATCGGTAGGATTAGCGTCTATAGCTTGAGTGTAGAATTGAATTGCTTCTTTGTATCTTTTCCCTTTAAAGTAGTCATTTCCTTGTTCTTTAAATTGTGATGCAACTTCATCTGGTGTACCTTCAAAAGCTAAGGACTGTAATGCCTGTATAGTTTCATTCTCTTCATAATTGTCTGGTAGAGACTTCATAAATAAAGGAGTTTGATCGAGTTCCTCCTGTGTCGGTGGTCTTCTCGGTTCAGCCAGTGAAGGATTTACACCTGTATTACCAATTTCAGCTAATTTAGCTACAGCTTCTTCAATATCAATATTTGACATTTTTTCTTTTTATTCTGATGACTGATTGTGAGCAAGTTGTTCTATCATATTCACGACGAGGATGTCGACAGAGTACAAATTTACATGTCAAGGATGCGGTTTAGCATTTCAAATGGCTGAAGATCAGAGGAATCACTTTAAATCTGATTTACATCGTTATAATATGAAGAGAAGAGTTACTGGTTTACCTCCAATTTCTTCTGAACAATTTAAGCAAAAGTTCGAAGACAGTACTGCAGCTAAACCAACCGTTGTACAATCTAAACCTAATCATATTAAAGAGAAGAATTATAATCCAACTAAAGTGGCAAATAAGCAACCAGAAGATGTTAAAATTCAACCAGAATTGACTGAGGAGGAAATTTACAATGAAAGAATGAAGAATAGGTTATCTAGCTTGGATTGTTTATTCTCTTCACATAAATCATCAACAGTTGAAGAGAACGTTAGATTTATGGAACATAACTTCTCATTTTACATCCCAGATAGGGACTTCATACAAAATTTGGATGGTCTGGTACAATACTTAGCTGATAAGATATCAATTGGTCACACGTGTTTATTCTGTAACAAATCATTTACCTCATTAGAATCAATTAGAAAGCATATGTTGGATAAGTCACATAATAAGATCGCATACGAACTTGAAGAAGATAGAGACGAAATATCAGATTATTATGACTTTGAATCATCAAATGCACAAAATGATGACGGTTGGGAAGATGATGAAGATATTCAATCAGGTGAAGAAGATGAAATGGTTGAAGATGACAGCGATAATAAAGAAGAACGTGAAATCCAATATGGTGACACACCTTTCGAATTGGTGTTACCAACAGGTAGACGAATCGGTCATAGATCTATGCAAATGTATTACAAGCAAAGACCATTGCAACAAGAGTTAACTGAGAAGAAACATGGTCAACAATCTGTAACTTATAAAATGTCTAACTCTGACGCACTCATTCCAGCTAAAGGTTCTGGATTCGGTGCATTCGGCGAAGGTCAACAAGTCATTCACGCGTCCAATAAGGGTGAAGCAAGGCTTGCAAAGAAAGCAACCAGACAAGCTAGAGATGTACAAAGAAGGGAACAATTCAAGACTAAGGTCGGATTCAAACATAATAACCAGAAGCAGTAAGTGAAAGTTTTTATACAATGACACAACTTTACTAACTTAATAATTACAGCTTCCGTGATCAATTACTTCAATAGATTATTTATTTATTCACTCTTTTGTAAAATTTGATCACATTATCATACGTCATTTTAGATGAATAGAAACTTCTTTTGTTGTAATGAGTCCTCGAACGTCTCAAGTGGCTCAACAATTAACTGTGAACACAGTAAACACTCGAACTTATCACTTACCTGGCAGATCGCATTCACCTTCGAATTCCGTAATGAGTGAGAGAGACAATTTACTTCCACAACCAAATGTTGGTCATAAAAACGCAATTCAAAAGACACACACTGAGTCATTCAAATGGTTAATCACGACAGGATGGAAGATTAACTTATTCTTAGTATTTGTTCCACTTTCCTTCATTTCACACTTTCTTAATTGGAACGAGAAGCTCATTTTCGTCTTCTCGTTTTTGGCTATCATTCCCTTAGCAAAGTTATTAGGTGATGCTACAGAGCAGGTAGCTCTCAAGCTTGGTGACACACTTGGTGGTTTATTAAATGCGTCATTTGGTAACGCGGTCGAATTGATCGTCGGTATTGTAGCACTTGGTCAAGGGCAATTAAGAATCGTTCAAACTTCTATGTTGGGTTCAATTCTTTCAAACTTGTTATTGGTACTTGGTATGTCATTCTTCGCAGGTGGAATCTCCTACAACGAATCTGAATTTCAACAAACCGCCGCTCAAGCTAGCGCTAGTGTTATGACATTAAGTTGTATCACTTTAATTATACCAGCAGCCTATGAGAGTTCATTCGGATCAACTTACGATGGTGAACATGATGGGTTATTAATCATATCAAGAGGAACTGCAATGCTTTTACTCCTAATCTACGCTGCTTATTTATACTTCCAATTAAAAACACACGCTTATCTATTTGATTCACAAGCTGAAGAGGAAGAAGAAACACCTGAAATGAACACAACTGCTGCATGTTTCGCTTTATTAGTTATTACCATAATTACGTCATTTTGTGCCGATTACTTGGTCGGTACTATCGATACAGTTGCGCAAGAGTGGCATTTACCAAAATCATTCATTGGTTTGATTCTCCTTCCACTCGTTGCTAATGCTGCCGAGCATGTTACATCAGTTTGGATGGCAGCTAAAGGTAAAATGCCGTTAGCTATTGGTGTATCAATAGGTTCATCTATTGTGAGTATAAGCGTATTATTAAACGAACTACTTAATAATCTTTCTTCTAGCAAATTGCTGTTTGTCTATTACCACTTTTATTAGTTATCGGTTGGATAATTGGCCAACCACTCACTCTTTTCTTCAATAACTTTGAAACAGTCTCTTTATTCGTTAGTGTCTTACTCGTTGCACTTATCATCCAGGATGGAAAATCAAATTGGCTGGAAGGTGCAATGTTAGTAGTACTTTACGTCGTATTAGCTTTAGCATTCTATGTAACGCCTTAAAAATTAATTTTATTTATTGTAGTCTTTTACACTTAAATACACGCGTCTTCTTAGTTAGGAATGGTGAACAGTCACAGAGACGCATTCTTTAAAAATCCATCTGAGGTTATACAGCAGCTATATGGTATGTCTGTAGTTTATATACGTTATCATATTCTCATACACCACAGAAAAACACGGTTTAGACTCAATTGAGGATAAGCTTATCGATGAATTCAACAATTTAGTAAACTTACCAACAGATATTGATTCTATACCTGAATTAGAATCAGCAGATTTTGGTACATTAGTTAGATGGACTGCTATGGTACAGGATACAGGTTATGGTACTGAAATGTATATTAGCACGTCATCCAACGATAAATGTTTAGTTTATGGTGCTAATCAAAATGAGGATGTACAATTTGATAATGATCAAGACGATTTCTCAAGAATACGCGAAAGAACTAACATCTATGCGGTTGAAATACCTGGAAACAATAATGAGAGTAAACCGATAAAGGAGGACCTTCTAGGCGGACCTTCACATAAGTTCCCTTTACAAGATCGTAATAATAAACTAGGTGTCCTTTTGAAGTTGTACGATAACGATTCAGGTGGTTCGTTACGACCAGCTACAGTTTATGAATTCGTTGGTATACTTGGTAAATCTGCACTTCCACGTACATTAGATAGTATAGAAGAGGATAACGTACAGGAAACTATCGTACCATCTTTACATGTACTTTATTCGCAGCAGGTAGACAACAAACCATCATCAGTTGTAGTAGAAAAAGATGTTGGAGAACATATAATCACTTGGTTAGCTGACGAAGTTCTCGGTGGTGATAAATTAGCTGCTCATTATTTGTTATTATCTTTGGTATCAAAAACACAGTCACGTAAGGCTGGTTCACCGATAGGTACTCTACCAATAACGTTATCATTACCTGAGAATGAAAACACGTCAGAACTAAAAATCGTTAAAGCAATTGAAGCACTCACAAATCTCTCAGTTTATCTAGCTTTATCAATTGACAAACTCAATGAGAGAAGGTTATATCCACATTCTAATGGTGACGATCTAAACTCAGGTAGTTTACAAGTTTCTCCTTCAACTTGCTTGATATTTGATGAAAGACACCTCGGTCAAGGCACTTTGAAAGATACAGGTGTTAGAAATGTACATTCAATCCAGAATGTAATCCAATCACAAAAACTTGAATACAATTTTCCATTCTCCGCTTTTCCGTTTGAAACTGACTTGATTACTGTTATTTTAACAGATCATTCAAAGTCAATTATACCAGGTACAATTCACATAAATGTAAAACCAACTAGTGATAACTATTATGGTGAATTGAGTATACCAAAACACATAAAATTATGGAAAGAGTTCATTCTTCAATCACGCCAAAAGCAAGTAACTATACCTGATGAAGTTTCTTCAATCATACAACAATCTTTCGTTGATGAACGTCAAGCACATAAACAAAATGGAGGTACTGGTGAAGGTACATCTTCAGATGACCTTGGTAGAAGAATTACGATGGCAAGATTATTAACTAGTTTAGATGATGGTGAAAGTAATACTATGAATAATGATCACTGGAATCTTATCACAAAGTTGGAGAAAGAAAGAGAAGAAAGATGTTAATCTAAATATTGTTTAGTTATTTATTACGTTTATTGATGTCTAAAACTTACCAATTTTCTGTTGAAATTCTCTTTATTTCTGCATTCCAGAAGATAAATATGTCTAATTCATTTGGTATTTCTATCCATTCACTTAGCCATTTATAGAATAATTCAACATCTTTACTCTTGTTGAATGCATCTAATGCAAATAGTTGACTATGTAAATCCTGTTGCTCTTGATTATTGACTGAATTTCCTATAATCCTTTTAATATCGGACATAAACATTGGTGATATACTTTCATTAAGTGAGATGATACTTCTGAAAATAGTTTGTCTAGATGGTATAAATCCTAAGCTTCTCATCCAACTTAATGATAACATTATTAAGTTTGTGTTCTCATATGAACCGCTCGTCCTCTTATCAAAGAGTATTTTAACGTAGGCATCGAAATGTTCACTATTGATCGATATATTATTATGCCTAGATTTATCGAAGTGGTTAAATATCAGTTTATCCCAATTTGGTTCGTTCTTTAGCTCGACTGGCGGCTCAATCGTGGATAGTTCAGGATGTTGCTGTAAAACAATAGTTCTAAAAACTGCTTCCATTTTTCTCCAAAACATCTCTGAATGTTCTAATCTATCATCTGACATTGAATGTGTACCGGTCATCTCTCTAAATTCAGCTTTAAAACCTCTTCCTAGTTCTTTAATGTGGTATTTAAACGATGATTCGTGATATTTTTCAACTATAAAGTAATCGCACGGATAAGTTCCTGTTTGTGATTTATCTTGTTGTGATATATGTTGTTGAAATGCTGCTCTCAATGCTATACTCAAGGTTGTTGAATTTGGTGAAACCTCCCATCTGGTTAGCATATTGGACCATATCCACCATACACCATATCTTTCTCTATTGAATGCCAAGTTATTGAGTAATGGGTGTATCAATCCAACTGATAGCTTCCCATTATGTTCATCTAATAATTCTATAGCTTTATTATACATCCCCAATTCTGAATAAGCCTTTACTAAAGGTTTGAGTATTCCTAGAATATGTGAATCATAACTTAGATTACTTCTTTTTAAGTGATTATAAACACTAATAACGTCGTAGTATAATGCCCTTTTTGACATTCCACGCATGATTGAACCATATCCTACAACTTTAACATTATCAGGAAGTGTAGATAATATCTCAATCAACTTTGTTGGTGTGATGTGTTTCGAATTAGCTATTACATTTAAAACAGCAACTTTTGCTTTGGTTGATTGTTTTGGTAGATTATCATAAAAAGCTTGAGCTGCAATTGGATCAAATTCTAATCCAGAAATATAAGTAGAATGTACACATTCCCATTGATAATTTGATAAATTTTTCATTTCTTTGATTTTATCATAGTATAGTTGACATTCAATTACATTACCCCTCTTGGCTGCAACCTTTAATGCTTGATATAAAATATTGAAATTTGGTGAGACATTCCCTTCATTCATTTTCTCCCAAACTTTAAGTGTAAACGATTGATCACGCCAATGTAACTTCTTTGACCATATTATTTTAAGTATAGCTGAACTAAATTGAATTTTATCATGAATCATTTTGTCAATCACGTTGAGTATTAAGTTGTTACGTAAGTTTTGATTGATATCGGTTGGTTTATGAAGGAATCTAAGTAATTTAAAGTATTCTCTCTCTTCTAACTTCTCCCCTAATAGCAGATTAACAGCTTCTGTTAGTATATTCGGATGATTAACTTGATTATATACCAAATAACGTAGATTTTGTAATCCAATTGATAATTTAGTATTATTTGAGAGTGTATTCCATTGTAAATGTACGTTTTTATGAAATTTTACAGCTTCAGTCCCATCAGAATATGCTGATTTCGTATAGGCTATTAGATCTTTAGGCCAATGAGATTTGTATATATCTAATTCATCGGTAGATTTAATATCAGTTGAGTAATTAACCCTTCTACTACGAATCCGTAGAGAGTATCTAACAGATTGTAGCATCTTAGATGGAAGTCAAACTTAAACGAGTAAAATAAGTTAATATCTATCAAAAGGAATAAAAGATTACAAATAATTTCACTCTTCATCCATTTCTTCCAACTCCTCGTCGTCTTCGACTTCTTCTGCATCTGGTGCTGCTTCTAAGTCGCTATCATCATCGTCCTTTATTTCAGTTGACTGACTACGCTTTTGATCTCTAGCTTTTCTTAATATCTTAACGAATGATCCTAATGTCGTTGACTCTACTGGTGTAGCTTCCATGAATCTATCTATTTGTCCTCTCTCACCTGGACTGAAATCAACCTTGGTTCTTTCAGTTTCAATCAATTTAGCTTGACTTTCTAATCTTTCTACTAGTGCCTTGAATTGACCGACAACCTTTGGTCCAGATGGTGACTTCTTTATCGTCTTTCTCAAGATACTAACAACAGGTACGATTGATTCTGGGAAAGCAATGCTTGTTCCAACTGTGAAGAAAGCTTCTGAGAGAATGTAAACAAGTTCATCTGCTAATCCTTCAACATAAACGCGCGTACGGCTGTATGTCGTAGGTACCCTTATGTAATTTTCGAAATCGATTGGTTTGAGTGTTGACTTTTTAGGTTGACGTTTAAACTCAGCTGATGATAATATTTCCAACAATGGTGCTGCAATTGGAATGTATGCACCTGTACGTTGTTCTAATCTCAATAATGATCTAATCATGTGGAAACGCAATGGGAAGTATCTGCTAGTTGGAACTAATCTGATAGCACCCAAAGATACTTGTACTAGTGGATAAATTAATGCTTGTAATTCTGATTCAGGTGCTGATTTATCATTTGCCCAACTCAATACCAAGCTCCAGAAATCAACACAGTGTACGTATTGCCAGTTGTATACCTGTCTAAATGATTCCTTGGAACTGTGTTAGCTAAATGTATTCTAATGACATCGTACCCACCTTTGATTTTGTTTTCATTGCACCTCTGAGTAAAATTGCAAGTTGTCTAATGTAACCAAAGGCTTGTTGGTAAGAAGCGCCGTGGTCCATATTGTATAGCTCAGCAGCAGTATTTTTCATCAAATTAATTGATGGGAGAGTATGTACACTTGTTTGCTTGCAAGTTCTGATAAATGTGAGGTAAGTAGACTAGGGATTTTGTCAGCAAGATGTCGTCTACTCGTTTAGTTTTTATCCTACTTTCAAAGTCAAATCTACAACACTGGTATCACCAGCAAGTGCAATCTTGCGTATTGACATGTAGGCTGCAATACGAACGCTATCTTTGGCGGATGACCAAAGTTCGAGTAATACTTTAAGTAAGGACTTGATTCCCTTTCTTCCACCAACAACATATGGAATAACTTTACCAACTTCACTAACTGCAACTTTGAGTATACCACCTTCGCTTTCGTCTTGTTCATCGTCAAGATTATCTGAAGTTGCTGGGAAGTGACCGATCAAGAATAAAGCGCTGTTTAAGTAAGTTGATACTAACTTTGGTAATATTGAATTTGGTGAAGGTGACAACTTAAATCTACCATTAGGTAATTCCTTACATGGCCAGTGATGAGCTAAAACGATTGGAGTATACTTGAATGCCGTTAATACAACTTTATTGAATAAATCGGCTGAATCGATCTCAAAAGTGAAGTTTTGTGATTGCTTTTTTGGCACATCATCCATGTCAGTAGAGAATGCAGCTGATCTGAATGCTAAAATGAGCTTCTTAAAGCTTCTCAAACTGCGATGATTGATAATAGCTCTTTGCCAATCTCTGAGCATCTTGTTTGTAAGTTTTGTGGTTTTACTTTGTGAGCCTTCCATTTCTGCTAAAGCGGCTGCTTCATCGTCATCTGAATTGTCACCTGCGTCGTCCTCGCCATCTTCTTGTTCATCATCAGACTCATCAAACTCAAGTAAATTCTTATCATTCTCTTGTAAAAATTTAAAGAATTCTGGATCAGTTTTGCTTAAGTTTTTGATTGCCTCAGCGTGAGATTTCTCATCTTGCTCAACGTCAGAGTTTTCAGCTTCTTCAGCGGATAACTGGGTGGTTCGTTAGATAAGTGGTTGATAAATATAGCTTCCACTAACCTCTTCATCATCGTCTTCTTCTTCCTCATCCTCGCTAAGTTCCATATTGAGTACATCATCTACGTTATTCTGTGATTCCTCTGGTACATCACCCTCGTCTTCATCTTCATCCTCGTTGATATCCTCTGATTGTTCTTTCTCTGCTGGAGCCTTCTTCTTTGGCTTATGCTCCTTTCTCGCTTGGTTCTTCTTCTCTCTAGCGTCTCTTTTATCTCTCACAGCTTTTACTTTCTTACGCTGTTCTAGCTCCTTTTTAAGTTTACCAGACTGTGAGAACTTCTTGGTCTGCTTTCCTAGTTTACCCATATAAGATGATGGTCGTAGATTATAAAAAGAGAATAATTTATTTTGGTATATACACAACAAAATTAAGCTTGGATTTCAGCGCTTTTGTTCTCTTTACCGTCGTTTACTTCCTTCTTTGGTGATGTCTTCTCTTCAGTCTTCTTCTCTTCTTTTTCTTGAAGTGCGACATCGTTTAGTTCTTCAAATGTAGCAGGTGCAGGTACTGGCGGTAATTGTGAACCATTAGCGACAGCTCCCTTGGTTTCTGTACCCCTGTAGAGATAATTCGTCAGTTTTTCATTCTGTTTAACAATTTCATAGCAGCGTACCAGTCGATGGCTACACGTGTAACACGTGGCTTCTCAACCAAAATACTTCTGTTAAGTTTATCGAAAGCTATATTCTCAGGTGGGTTCTCTCTCAGTTCGTCTGAATCATATTCATTGTGAACGTAATAACCGACGCGTACGAACTCTTGATCGCGGTAGCTAGCGGTTAATAATAAAACGGTAACGCCTAAGATCTCCTCTTTTGGTATTTTATCAACGCTAGGTGGATCAGCTTCGAAAGTGAAGGAGTTGACGCCAACTGGGACGGGACCAACTAAGCAGCTGTCCAACTCCTGATCAAAGTTGACTGAGGATGAAGAACCGACGTAGATCAGCTTCCATTCGAGGTCCTCTGGCAGATGGGAAATGCACTCGAAGGTAACGGTAAACTTGAATGGGTCTGACCAGCGGGCGATTGGGTTACCAACTTGAACGTCTCTAAGGTGTGTAAGAGTCTGCTATAGGCTCTCAAGTAGATATTTTAACTACCCACCTAATCGAAATAATTGACATCGTCGTACAATTAAACGCGTTCACCTCTCGACTGACATTCCTTTCACCTTTACAACGATGATGATGTCAAAAGTGAGATTAAATTAAAAATCTATTTATTAACAGACGTTTACTCTCTACAGCCTTCAATTTATGACGCACCAAAGTCAGAGTTAATCGTCACAGAAAGTTCAAACAAATTGGTCGATTTGATTGCTCAGTCGAGACTATTCTTAACTGATAAGTTTTCTACTACAACTGACTGTATTGCTTCTGGAAGGGACAAAGTCATAAACTTGGAAAAATCAACGAAATGTAGGTCCTATTAACTCCAAACTACCGCCGTTTATCATCAATTACAGCCCAATTCAATCAAATTATCGATAAAAATGAACAATTCTCTCCAAATATCTTTTATATCGCCGTCGCAGGTCTCGGTGGTTCAATTTTAGCTAGAAACTCAAACTTCTTGTTCAGATTGAGTCTTCCACCTACGATTGCATTAGCAACCTCATACCAGCTACTTCCACAATCAACTAATAATGTATTCAGCAAAATTGGTAGCCTTGAACAGTCTAATTTCCCTGAATTACATCAACAAAGGTTAGAATTGAGGAACTCAATCAATAGCAGCCTCCAAGACACTAAGAACAACTTCAAAGATCTCACAGATGGTTTCAATTCAACTGTAAACAAAGGCGCTCATCAAATTCAAGAGTTAACCGGATTTAGACTTGGTAACTAAGAAAATGCATTTTGAAATTAGAATATTACATTTGATAATGTGCTTAGTTTTACTTGGTTTGCTGTCTCCAATTCAGCTTCCCATATTATCCTTATCGTCTCATTTGCTGACTTTTCGATAGCTTCAGACGATCTTTTAGAGACTAGCTCGCATACTTTAACCAGTTCTTCCCTCATCTTCCCCTCATTCTCTTCACTAACACTTTCTTGCTCATATCTCAGCGTCTTTCGCCATTCTTCTATTTGATTTTCTTCCAAGCAAATCAACCGAAGAGCAGATAGCGTCCTTTGTGATGGATATGCTGGTGATGGATATAAGTGGAGTGTATAATCATCCCATAGTCCGTTAGATTCTAACTCATCCTTTCTCCAATCCGTCGTTACCATTGAAATGATCAATTCGCTAATGTTACACTCAGTAAACGCATTCTTTTCCCATCCTAGGCAAAAACCATACTCAGCCAACAACGATGAGTCTGAATGTGGTCCATACATGAAGAAAACCTCGCTATCTTTCTCGACAACTTGATCAGATTGGTTTATGAGTTCATAACCACCCTCTTGAGGAATTTGTGGCTTAGGTAGGCTACTAAATAGATTTTCTGTATTTGGTGAAGGTGAATTATGATTGAGAAGGTCCAAATAAGGACATAAAGCTAGTTGAGATTCTTTCGGAACGTCTTTTACTGGATACCAAAGACAACGTGTGTTAACAATCAACCAAGACCATAAGAATACACTTTTGTATTCTTTCTGGAGATGCTCAGAGGCTCCAGACTCTTCAAAATTGTTTTCAAACAGCTCGTAATCGTTAAGATAACGCTTTTTGACATCATTTATGAGCTTTTGAGAGTAATTTGGTAGACTAGTCAAGCTATCAGTATCCCAATAGAGTGGATGGAAATTTAAATCTTTTGGTAGACTATCTAGATACGTCCGTTCAAATTGACTGAATTGTCCATCAGATAGCTTGAGTTTAGAGAGGTGTATAGATAGTATTTGAGTAGCGTTTAGTTTATTAAGTAAAGACTTTGAATATCTTCCTGTAATATATATTGATCGACAATGTAACAAACAAGTATGAGGAATTCTCAAGTATAAACAACCTTTATTGATATAATTACGCGTTTTTAAACTAAAACCAGCATCTTTCGTTAAAGTAGAGTATAATTCAACATTTGCGCCATATTCTCTCATTAGAACATCTTCCAACTCGTTCACCATCATCGACGTAAACGAAGAAGGAAAAAGAATGAACAATCTTAATACAGAAATATTGCCTGCGCCACCTGCGCTACCTAATAAAGTACCGAGAAATATTTATCATAAGTTAGAGCCATTGGATGATGCTGCAAATAGAGGTTTTAGTCCAAAGTTAGACTATAAGTGGGTTAATTAAATGGACTATACTTTCAATAGTTAATATTTTAATTAGTTTTACTAAACAAACAACGCCACGACCAGAAACAGCCGATTTATCTACGGAATTTGATGATAGTGTACTCATGCCACAAGAATACCCGATTAAGCGTAATGATTTAGCTGATCAAAGACCTAGTACATCATTAGCACCTCACATTAAAAAATCATCTAGAAATACTAACAATTCAGTGAGTTAAACGTCGTATTCTAACCTCAGACATTTCTCACAGCCCAAACGAAGGTTGGAAAATACAATCATGAATGGTGTGATGCATGCGGAGGTGAAGGTAGAGTTATAATGTGTGATGGTTGCGATAATTCTTTCCACGCAAGTTGTTTAGATCCACCTATGGATTTAGGTGAATTATCTGAAGACGTTGAATGGTATTGCAGAGTTTGTCAATTTACAAATAATAAACCACGGCCTCCTACGAATTGGTCAGATCAATTAATGTATCATCGTGATATCAGCAATCCAAAATCATTTAGTTTACCAGTGTCAATTAGGAAGTACTTCTTTGGTGGTGAGTACCTAGCATAATTAAAGAAATTTATTTAAAAAAATATTACCAGTTGAAACAGCATACGATGGTTCTTACTCTACTTCGAGTGATACCAAAACAGTAAAAACAGAGTGAGTGATTCTAATATTTACAAATAAAGTACTAAAGTCGAACCTTTTAGTCGTTTTGGTGCTGCACTTACGGAACGTGATGCCTATCCTACAAAAGACAAGCATGGGAACGCAGTAAAGTGTTACAAATGTAAAGGTTCATCAGCACCTTCATTATCACCTAGCAACGATAATGACCGAAATAGAGCGATCACAGCATCATCTTCAACTTCAACTACACACACTGAATGGCGTAAAATGATTAGTTGCGACTATTGCAATTGTTATTGGCATTTAGATTGTCTAACACCACCTATAACTCAGATACCTTCAATGTCAAGAATGTGGATGTGTCCATTGCACGCTGAGCATGCGAAATCATTACACATGAAAGTGAGTAATTTCCTTCTTAATTTAATACATTCATGAACTAAAATAATTTAGATGAAAAATAGGATACCAAAAGAAAATATAAAAGAAGTAAATAATAAACTCTCACGTTCGGATAGTGTTACAATTATTGGAAATAGTTCAAAGAGGTCTAAAAAGTCAAATGACAGACTAGATAAAGAAAAATTTCATATACCAGAGCAATCTATACAGTTAGACTTTTGGAATAAAGTTAAAAAAGGCAAAGGTTCTAGGTGTGTGATATGATTTAAGTTCTGAATACTTCTAACGAGGTTTTCTTATTAGATTACGTTATTCGAAGTCATTCCTTGAAGATGTTCCAACGGTGAATGCAGTTGAGGGGTTAATGGCACTATCAAAGCCATCACCGAGTGAGACGAGAAAGATGGTACGTCGAGTGATGCAAGGTAGGAGTGCGACAATTAAAGAGGTTAGTCTGTTGTGATGAATTCATAGTAAGATCTAATAAATTTGATAGGAAAATGATAAGGGAGAAGAATCAGATAGTAGTTCATTAAGTTCAGCACCTGTTTCAGATGATGAAGAAAGTAATAAGAAACATCTAATCGACGAATCACGTTTAAGAAAGATCAAAACAATTGAAAGGTTACTACATATCAAAGGAGAGAAAGAAACGATAGAATTTTTAATAAAGTGAATTGTTGTAATAAAATAAATAAAACTATGGTATTGCCCTGACGACGAGGAAGAGGGGAGTGCGTCAATTAGTTTGAAATAGCCTGAAATAAGATCTATTAAGATCAATGGAGAGTAATATACCGTTTAAATGGCGTGAATCTAAGAGAATACCGCATTTAAAGCCAAGTTCAAGGAATAGTCCGAAGTTTGTTGATCATACAAGCGTTGGTAGTTGCGTAGCTATACCGGAAGATTTCGTCGTTAATCATCGCACGCCAATAGTTGAGAATACAACAAAAGTAATACACAAACCAGTACATTTACCAAAGAAACCATTCTTTCCGGATAGAAAGTCGAGTTTACAGAAAGCAAACGATGAGAATGATAAGATAGATAATAAGAGCATTACAAAGCATAATAGACTACCTTCTAGTTACATGCCTTTAGAAATAAAGGAAGAGATAAAGATGGACAAAGACTGGGCAACTAATTTACTCAATGACGCATTCAGAATATAAGAAAATAGCTAAATATACCCATTTTTAATAGGATTATTGTACATTAGTTTCTTTTTTGGTGATTTCATTAATTTCTTTCTAGCATACCATCAATGTCGAAACGTTTAAAACCGCAATTAAAGAAGTTAGAAACTAAGAATACAAATTATAAAGATCATTTAATAAAATCTGCGCCTACAATTTCATCTGTTATCGAGTTTGACCCAACAATCTTAATTAGCAATTCTATCATAATTGGACCTGAACCTTCTAGTGCATCTGACGTTGATAAATTACGTGAATTAGGCGTTAAACAGATATTAAACACAGCTTTAGAATGTGATGATTCCTTATCCCTCAATAACGAGTTCAAATACTTGAAATTAAACATGATTGATAACCCTTCTGCAATAAACGTACAAGATTTCTTAAATAAAGGTAGTGATTTTATTGATGACGCTAAATTACATTCACGTCCAATTTATGTTAGTCTAGCTTTTTACATAGCATATTATCACTTACACTTTTTATTAGGTACACTGCAAAGCAGGTAAAAGCAGGAGTGTCGCAATAGTTATCGCTCACCTCATTAGAGCTAATAGATGGGATATCAATAGAGCTTATGATTACGTTAAACAGAGGAGGGAAACCGCCAGTCCGAATATTGGTTTCATAGCTGAATTAATGCTCTTTCAAAAAGATTTAGAAATATTTGATTACTCTGATGAACATAGTAATGATTCAACAAATACTCCTTCAGGTTCACCATACGCGAATGAACCGGATAACAAATTGAAAGCAAGTTTTGATAGGTTAGCTGGATGTAGAACACCTTCAAGTAGACCGCTCTCGGCTGGTCCAGGCGTTCTTATGACTAAAAAGAATAAACAACAAAAACAACATGGTGTTGAACAACGAATAGATGATGAAATGCAAACGAGACTTCACCTTCAAGAAACGTTAGGAAATCACTCAGAAGTTGAAAAGAAGGATAGATCAGGGAGATATATACATCCAAGACGAGCGCCTGTTGATAATCGTCTTCAACCACTTCGGAGGGTTTCAAAAGCAGGTCTTGAAAGTGCAACGCTTGACTTTTTAAAAGAGTACGATTATGAATCAAAAACACCAACAAAGGAAACTATTGAAGAGAATCCAACGACCAATGATGAAAGTACGCAGATAGTTAATGAACAATCTTGATTCAATCTTATTCCTTTATCCTATCATTGAACAGTTTTCAACTTTAGATATCAAAAGCTTTGCGACTTTATTTTATATCTCATTTATTCGACAAATCAAGAATCGGATCAAATAATTATTTTCCTAGTCATATACACCCTGTCATACAATATATTCACAATTAAGTAAATGATTTTTATATCTGTGCATTTTAAATCAAATAAATAATACAAAAAAGACTAGAGTGATGATTTGAATAAATATACCTGTCCGTTTAAATATCTATAAATTAAGAGAAGAAGTATGGTGAATTGACGACTCCACGGACATCAAATGGTCCTTTCTTTGGTAAGTCAGGTAAAACATCTTCAAGTTTGATGTATTTTGATTTAATGAAGTCTGAAATTTCATCATCTTTAGTTATAAGATTGAGATCATCATTAGTTTTTGCTTTTATCGTCTCAATTGCTTCTAAATCTTCCGATGTAATGTTCATTAGATCTTCACTTTCTTCTTCTTCTTCTTCTTCCCTTTCTGCTTCCTTTTTTGCTACTTTTTTAGATCTTTTTGGTAAGAGTGGTGCGATCTTAGGATTCTCCTTGTCAATCTTAGCACCGAGTGATGAAATTGGTATTCTGTATCCCTTGTATCTTTCAATTACCTGTTTATTTTTTGTTAGCTGTGTTACTTTCGTTTAATAATCTACATACCTCATCTCTCAATCTCTTTAGAATTTCCTCACAGTGCAATTTGACGAAAGTATCTCTAATAATTTCTGACATGTGGTCAACTGTTGAAGCATGTGTCCAGTATGAATCATGAACACTAGCGTATGTAATACCAATTTGCTGGAAAAATGTTTAGATAAAGATGTAAAATCTTATTCTCACTCACGCTACATTGCAACGCAGTTAAAACCATGTGTGTTGCATCCAAAGAGTGGATAAAGTTTGGTGGGAATGCAGAAGCTTGCTTGATTGGATTAACTATTTGTTATTGGTTAGACTCATAAACTGAATGTCTAATATACATTACATACCTTCAGTTGGAATATTAGGATCAGCCAAGTAGACGGATTGTAAGAGAGTTGCTACTTGCTTTTTCTTGGCTTTACGGTAAGGTTGCACAATTGGCAAACCAAGTGGGGTTGTCCATATAACAGATGTCATTTGTTCTTTTGCTGTGCGTGTTGAAACATTACCCTTGTTAGCGGGGCTATTCTTTCTTTTAGCCTCGAGTGGCTCAAGTGCTCTAATCAATCTCTCTGGTGGAATCGACTTGGCTATATATCTCGCGCTCATACTCAACCACTTTTGAATTGCATTAGCACCAGCGAAAAGATCACCGATGGATCTTAAAACCTTTTTAGCTAGGTAACTTGCAGTTGTGTAAACCTTATCTTGTGGGATATCACCTCTATCTTGAAGTTGTTTGTCAATCTGATCACGTGCTCCAATAAATGTAACACCATAAACTGTTGTCATAACTGTTTGCTTGACGACCTTTCTAGTGATTTTTCCTTCGAGGATCTTTGCAAACTCATTATCTGATTCTAATGCATCTTTCTTTATATCTTCAATAACGAGATCTGCGACAGCTGTGTATACATCTGATGGTCTATCTCCTTGTTCGAGATTAACTTGTTTAGCTCCCATTGGGTCACCACCGAGTGCTGCGTAATGTTGTAAACCGTTACATGTACCATCTTGATGAACTGGTAATGCACTCTCATAGGCGAGTGGATTTGGTGATAACATAGCTGCTTGAATTTCATAACATGCTGCTAAACATTGCCAAGGATCATCAGCTTTTAACCACCATTTACGACCATTTAATGGATTATCTGCACTGTCGTAGATTTCCTCCATATGCTCATCTGCGAATTGCTCTCTTTCATTAAATGATGCCTTATCATAACCGTATACATTAGCCAAATGAATTTTGAGCCATCTCATTCCCTTCTCCCCTAATGGTCTCTTCTCGGCAAAAATAAGTAAACCTCTACTAAGATCATCGCCAATATGATTTAAATGTGGAGGAATTGGATATGCTCTACCTCTAAAATCCAAAGTATGAGGGAAATAAAACGTTTCGTTCAAAAATGCTCTGGCAATTTCAAGTTTATAATTAGTATCACATCTGATACTATGATTATTCCTTCTTTCATTGACAACAGCTTTCATGCTTTGTAAATAATTTGAACGTTCTTTTGGATCAATTGCATAGTTTGCAGGTTTAACTGGATCTGGAGTTTTTGTTGTTGCAGGTGGTATCTTCGCCAGACCTTCACCTGTATTCCAAGCTTCTTTGACTACATTGAAAACTTTCCTGTTAATGTTCCAAGGTGTAGCACCAAGGACATCTAAACCAGCTAAAACAGGTTCCATTGTACCCTCACTTGAAGCTTTTAATATGTATGATTGTTGTTCATTTGAATCTTTGAATCTCATGGCTGAATTTTTATGGAAGAGGTATCCACCACTATCGTATCTCAACCAAGGTTTTGGTTTGACAAGCATAGGAAGATGTCTTGGATGGATGGTCGAACCCAATGGATCTTTATCAAGTCTATCAGCAACCGCTGTATTTACTTTAATGACACCAAGTTTCTTTCCTCTGACGTATTGATAAGACTGTGAAAAAGCTGGTTGGGCTTCCGTCATCTCTTCTCCACTTTCTGGATGTTTAGCTGTCCTTGTGATAGTAGCGCATTCCATGAGACTATCCACTAAGAATGAACCAACTTTAATTCTAATAATTTGTGACCAATTTGGTGTCCAAGCTTTATTCATACGCTCTTCGACAACCCTTGCTTTCGCTCTCTCCGAGGCAATATCATGACTATGTGCTTCAGGCGATTGTTCTGAAGTTCCCATAGCATCGTCGATCAAACCAGTGAATTCTGGCGATTTAAGATCAAGTTCTTTTTCAGCTTTACGGTGATCGAAATAACGAAGTTTACGTTTTACTTGCTTAGCATCTGCTTCTACACCTTTCAATGAAATTCCGTGCTTTTGTTTAAGTATTTCAGCATGATGTTCATTCTCCACGGCTTTGCCAACTGATAATAATGCGCGAGTGGTTTTCATACCCTCTGCTATACCACCTGTACCACTTAGCCTTAAAATTTCAAGGACAGTAATTAAAGACATCTTTTCAGATGAAAGTAAGGATAAAAATGGTGTGATTTCATCTTTTAATCGTTAATGTTTGTCGGTAATGAACACTTGATACTCACTCATAAACTTCTCTTCCTTGGTCTTTGGATTCGTTGTCTCCATACTCTTCTGGAGCTTTGCTTGAATATCAACTGAGACCTTTTTCCACCAATCCCACATAAGTTTCTGCAAAGGATGACCAGATAAAGCAGTAGAAACGCCCGCTTTCTCGAGCTCATTCATTTCATGTTCAAATCTAGCTTTAGCGGTTTCATAAGCTGATTCCTCAAGTAAACGTTGACGGGCAGCAGGATCACCAGCGAGAGTTTTAGAAGTATGTCCGAGTGGTTTTAGTGATTGTCTAAGTGAGTAAAGGTTGTATGGTGTTTCAGAAGTTGATGGACTGAGAACACCCATGATATCTTCTTCTCCTTGTACGGCCTCAGATGCTGCTTCATCTGGTAGTGATGCATTTTCCTCTTCAACGCCATTCATACTTTTCTCCAATTCAGCATGAATTGAGGCTAATTCCTCAATTAATGGCACATTTCCAGCACTTGCAGCTGCTCGTGTGAGTACGGAAACTGCTGCAAATGACTCCGATAAACTAGTGAAATGAGAGTACTTTATAATGACATCCCTCAGACTTGGTTTACCAGGCAAATCGTTTACTGCATCAAGTAGAGGTTTGCAGGAGTAAGAAGAATCACCATGCTTTGCCATACCCTTCACCATCAAAGTCCATGTTTCAAGCTCCCAATTAACACCTTCTTTACCAGTAAAAAGTGCATCCCAAAGTTTGAAAGCCTCTCCGATGTACTTATCGCCACTAGATTTCGATCTTTTATCGGCTTCTTGGAAGTAACGCTCGATGAATTTATTGTATATTGTAACGTCAAGCGTAGAATAATTATTTGATGTAAAATTCTCTATTTGCTTCTCACGTAAATTTTGGAAGACACCTTGAGCTCGTTCGAGGAGGAAAGGAGAAGACAAACAAGCTTCTAAGATTGCGAAAAGTTCTTGATTATCTGTTGTTGTATAGATGCTAGAATGCTCGTCTGATATATCATCGTATGGCCTTGGTGTTGGTAAGAGTGTTCTCTTGTTGAAGTTGTATATCAAATCTGTAGAATGCTGTGGCTGAGTAGATTGACAACGGAAGACATTCCTTTGTACAGCTGTTAGCCCCCGCAATCTCCTGGCTGGGACAAGCCTGCGAAGCATTATGATAGTGGAAGTAAGAAGAGAAGAAGGGAAGGGTATTATAAAGGTTTATAATGAGAGATGAGGGTGATATTATATCGTATCTATCGTATCGAATAGCATACTTCAAAGGATCTCTTGGTGGCAGACGATCTGATAGTGCATAGCGATAAGGGAAATAGAGATGGCTAGAGATATCCGATAGACAAAGATAGATAAAGATAGATGCAACGTCTAAAGTCATAAATTCATCATACCGACGTAAATACATTACTTTTTCTCTGCTTTGTTAATCTCAGCTTGTGTCTTAGCAAGCTCTTGTTGTTGTTGTTGCTCCTTTTCTCTAAGTTCCTTCAGTTTAGCTTGCTCCTGTTGGTGTACGTATTTAGCTTCTTCACCTTGCTCACGCTCCTTGAAACCATCGGATGTAGCATATGAACGCATTTGTTGTGTAGTTTGTGGCTGTGTATGTATTAGCTATCTGAGCAGGTAGATAGTGGACACTCACTAATCTTTGACGTTGTTGTTGTACGATACGGGAGAACATGGTCGTTGTAATTCAAGGTGGATATAATGGAGTAAGCGATTGGTGATGTATGACCGAATAACACAATTGAAGAATTAGGAAAAAAATATAAAATAAAATAAAATGAGAATTGTATTGTTTGATAAATTATATAGATCTATCATATAACACATTTTGGTTGATTTTAGCTGTTTCTCATTTCGTTAAGCCGAACCATCACTATCAAAATATGTTCATCAGAGCAGCTGTAGGTGATATAATATAAAAATGATAAGCGAATTAATAGCACTTAGTCACGTATCTCAACCACCAGCGCCAGAAACTTCAGCGCTTCAGCTTACGCTTCAAAGGGTGAGCACTCTATAATATTTAGTTGAAATATTCTAATAAAATACTAGACCTCGTTCAAGAGCTCTACCTCTCACAACTGAAGTCATACAAGGCACCACCAAAAGCTGCAGATGCTCACGTCGGTCATGTAAAAACATTCAAGCAGCCAGAAACCCCAGCAGCACCATCTGTACCAACCGATTTGGCTACTGAATTGAGCTCATACGAGGCTGCTCAACCAACTTTCAACCAGCCAACTTCCACCCCGGCCGAATCAGCAAACGCAGGTGAAAACGCAGAAGAATTCCTTGCCTTCCTTGAAGCTGACCTTCCAAAGCCAGAGGTCAGTCCTTTTTTACTACTCACAAGCCAATCTAACTAAAATATACAGGCTCACCACTAAATTTGGACTTTTTGATGGATATTAGGTTGAATTTGTAGAAAGTAATACAAAAGATTAACAAATTTATTTAATTGTCTGTTCTTTGCCCTTGATTGTATACTACCACCGTCTATTATGGACAATAAGGACTTTGAAGTCACAGCACCACCAACGGATGGTGTATCCTGCTTAGCATTCTCACCCACAGCTGATATATTAGCTGTTGGCAGCTGGGATAATAATGTAAGTTTACTAGACTACTATTCAGTTGAAATTCATTAGAAATCCAAGGTTAGAATATATGAAGTACAGCCAACTGGACAGACAATACCTAAATTTATGTATTCGCATGAGCAACCCGTTCTCTCCTTATGCTGGACCAAGGTTAGTTATATAGTGAGATATATCATACTAGATACTCAGACAGCCACTAGGATGGTGGTAAATTAATCTCAGCTGGTGCGGATAATGCAGCTAGAATGTTTGATTTGTCAAACCCACAAAATGGACAGTCATCACAAGTTGCACAACACGACAAACCAATCAAATGCGTTAGATGGATAGAAACTCCTACGGGTGGTATCCTAGCAACTGGTTCTTGGGATAAAACCATAAAGGTACGCGTTTTTACACCTTTATATGTCTTCTCATTAGTATAGTACTGGTCATTGGGAAATCCTACCCCAGTTGGCACTGTACAACTCCCAGAAAGACTCTACTCTATGGACGTCGTATATCCACTTCTGGTAGCTGCTACTGCTGAACGCAGAATCGTCATTATCAATCTCAGTCAACCAACGACAATATTTAGAGTATGTTACGTATATAGGACTTATTCAATTATCTTATACAATTACTTAGGAACTTGAAAGTCCACTTAAATGGCAGACTAGAGTGATTTCCTGTTTCCCATCCGGTGATGGTTATGCAGTTGGTTCTATTGAAGGAAGAGTAGCTATACAGTAAGTACTTTAAATCTGAGCCAAGTTTAGTTCCTTAATCACGTTTAGATATGTGAATGAAAAAGATCATGCCCAGAACTTTTCATACAAATGTCACAGATCTAAAGACGGTAAAGAGATTTACCCAGTAAACGATATCACATTCCACCAACAACATGGTACATACTCAACTTGTGGTGCGTTGAAGGTTGTACTGGTTATTATCAACTTACAATTGCTTAGGATCCGATGGTTCTATATCATTCTGGGATAAAGATTCAAAGACAAGACTGAAAAGTTGGTGATTTATACTTTACTAAACATTCTAACGTCGTTATAGATCTCGAAATAAACCAAGGACCAATTCCATGCACGGCATTCAACGCAGCAGGTACAATTTTTGCATATGCACTCTCATATGATTGGTCTAAAGGATTCTCAAAGCAACCACCACAACCATTGGTTAAGATTATGCTACATGCTACCAATGACGAAGAAGTAAAGCGTCGCCCACCAAAGAAATAAACTTATTATTAATTTATGCCTACGTTTAAAGTGTCTCCAAAATATAGTTAATATAAATATCTGAAAATAGGAATTATTGGTGTGCCTATGGTAAATGTGAAATGTGTACTTGATTTACTTATCCGCAACTTGAAACTGCGTCGAAGATTATGACATGCATTCTCTCTTTAAAATATAGTAGGGATTATGAATAGAAAATTATGATGATAAGTGATGATTCACATCTATTTTGCATTATTATAGGGTTTTTGACGATAAATTTGTTATCATATTTAAACTTGCCGTTTTATTTTGTAATCTGATAACGTGACTTCTATTAACAGGGTCCTCTGATCATTGCATACATCTAACAGGGGATCTTACTTTTTTCATGTAACAGATAACAATATTTCTAGTTTTAATAATAATTCCGTGTTAGTAAATATAGGATAATTTCAAGTTATAACACGCGTAAAGCACCTCAACTACTGACCCAATCAAGCTCCAGGTTTCTCTATCTGTATCATCCGGTGACGTATTTAATTCAGGAAAAAATCCAATCGACTAGGCACATATTAATTAACGCACTGTGCTCTATCTATTTATTCTCAGTATGATTATGTCTTAACTCAGTCGATAGAAAAAATGAAGTTTACAGGCTTAACATTGGGTATATTAGCATCAGCTGTATACGCACTCCCTACGCTATCAGATCTTGATGATGGAAATTTCATAGTAACTCTCAACGATGATACCGATCTTGATGACCATCTCAATCAACTGGGTGGCTTGTTAGGTGGTAGTGATAGTGTTACTCGCAAGTACGACAATGTTTTCAAAGGTTATGCCGGATCATTTAGTAAGACACTCTTCCAATCTCTTTCTGGTGTTCTTGATGGACATATCGCAAACATAGAGAAAGACGGTATATCATATGCACTCGATTTGGAATCAGGTTGTATGTATACATTTTTACAGTCCATCGTTACTCTTTCTAATGACATATAGCTGCACCTTGGGGACTTGAACGTATCAGTCAACGTGAGAAACTCCCAGAAGACTCTGACGTGCGTGCTTTGAACTACGACTACAATTACCCACAGCCATCAGGTGCTGGTGTAGATGTCTATGTGATCGACACTGGTATTCGTATCTCGCATGAAGATTTTGAGGGTAGGGCATCATACGGTTTTTGGGGTGGTTATCCAGATGCAAATGATGATAATGAACACGGTACACATGTAGCAGGTACAATTGGTGGTAAGACTTATGGTGTCGCGAAATCAGTCGACCTCCTAGCAGTTAAAGTTCTTAATGGCACAGGTCAGGGAACCAATTCTGACATTATCGCTGGAATAAACTATGTAGTGCAAAATAGTAAAAGTACAGGTAAACCATCAATCGCGTCACTCAGTCTTGGTGGTGATGTCTCACCTGCACTCGACAAAGCTGTCCAGCTTGCAATCCAAACCGGTGTTCATTTCGTAGTTGCAGCTGGTAATGAGAACAAAAACGCTGGTGATTCTTCACCTGCGAGAGTCGAAGAAGCAATAACAGTTGGTGCTTCCACAATTTATGATCAAAGGGCGGAGTTCTCAAATTATGGTAGCGTTGTTGATATCTTCGCACCTGGTATGAATATAACTTCAACTTCCAATAAGGACGACACAAGTTCACTCAGCTTGAGTGGAACTAGCATGGCTACACCTCATGTTTCAGGCGCGTTGGCGTCTCTCCTTAGCCAAGTTGGTCAAATGTCCCCAGCCGACGCAAGCCAAAAGTTGAAAGATATAGCTACAAAAGGTGTACTCGGTAATGTTGAACCACCATGTGGTCTTTTCTGCTTAGCCAAGAAGAGCTTTAGACGTCAATCGGGTGTTTCAAATAACCTCCTCTACAACAATGTTTAGTGGATTATGATTCACAGGTCAACCGGATTTTTGTAATATATTTCACCTTATACACATGCTATCTAGTGATGTATTAAAAATAAATGTATTCCTCGAAATATAAAAAGAAACGTTAGTAGAGATTCTGTAAGCAATAGTTGAAAAGTAAATCATCCTTTTTGAATAATAATCTGGGTAAAATGAGTGAGTATCAAATCTAATAATAGCGTGTTTCGATAATATCGTTGGAGGGATATATAAGCAAATAATAATAATAATAAATTCGTCATGTCTTCTTCTATATCTTCGAAATGTTTTTACTTCCTAGCAGCAATTTTCTTGCTCATGACATATATTTCGTAAAGGTATCTCCTATCATCAACGATACCGCCGCGTGGAATCCAACCTTGAATATCATTATCATGTTGTTTCTCAGCAAATTCACACTGGTCAATCAGTTCTTTTGGTATATTCGCCATTATCTTGGCTCGTTCAGTGTCTATTGTACTAACTTGTGAGTTATTGGTATCATGATGGAAAATTGTCATGGCTGTTTGATCACGCTGATAATGTGATCCGCGCGAGCTATTTGAGCTACTTGAAAGGTTCGCAAAAACGTCTTCCTCATCGTTCGTTAACCAGCACATTCTAACAGGATCGAAGACCATATCGCCGACGATTTTAGTAGGTTGGTTGAGGTATGATGTCCCATTACCACTCGAGTTAGGCGAGCGAGCTCTGAGACTATTGAAGGAACTGTTTGGTGTTGTCGTGCTATTGAAATGAGTGATTAATCTGAAAATTATGAGCGAGTGAAAGGTTCTATAAGATATTACTCACGCTGGTCGAGAAGTCTCCAATTCTCTAAGTGCTGGTTCGTAATTGTTTCCATCCCACTTACGCTCTACGGGGTTGTATTTCATGTCGCCCACAACTTTAACTTGGTCTTCTTTCCCAAGTTGCTTAATTAAAGTAGGTCTTTTGCTTCTCCTGAGTGTCTTCTTTTGGGGAAAACTTTCCTCAGTGCGCTGATGTATTGAAGGAAACATCATTTGTGAACTTGTCGGTGATAATGATCTATTAAAGCTCGAGTGAGAGTGTAACCTCTGCTTACGCTTAGCTTCGGATGACAAAGTTGGTGCCGTCACAGTTGAATTAGGGATGGGTATAGTTATCGGTGAATGAGCTCTTGCCGTACGCGTTGGAACGTACCTGCTCTGTGAGATAGTTGGAGGAGGAGGAGGAGTTTGTGGTGAACGCGAGCGACCGTCAAAAAAGGTGTTAAACACTTGTGAGACTTTATTAAAGAATGTCAATAGCGCATCAACTTATACTCACAAGAGGGCCTTTCTCTTACTTGCTTACGCTGTATCGTCGATCCAGAAGGGGAACTAGATCTATCTGATCGGGTATCTGATGGTCTAGCTTTTATCGTGCTGAATTCATCACCACTCATACTCGTCCTCGTCCGCGTTTGGGTCGTGAGATCCTCGAAAGCCTCCAATTCGCTACCATCACCCCAGATCTTCTTGGGCTTGAGGTTCTTTGGTTTAGTGAGTAGCTTGGCTGATGATGGCATAGCCACTCTAGCCGCAGGGATTGAAATACTAGGTGGACGCATTTTAGCTGGTTTTGATTTTGCTAACGATGACGCAGTCGGAGCTGTTAATCTACTTTGTGAGAAATTGAACGTAGACTTTGCATTCCTTAGACTAGGTTGCGTAGGACCTTGATTGCTGTACCGCGTTGGTGAGCGTGGCAGTGATGAAAGTGAACCACGTCGATGTAAAGAGCGTACAGGTGGCGCGGGAGTGACTTTTGCGGGGGCAGAAGATCTCGGTTTCTTTGAAGAAGCCCTAGCTAATAAGCTGTTCTGTATTCTCGTCGGAGATAATTTTATATCTTGTGAAATATCCAAATCCTGTTCGAACGGTTCAAAAGGGCGTTTGTTGATTTTTTGAAGTAATCTTGAATGAAAGTTTATATTCTGTGGTAGGTGTATATCCTGCAAGAAATCGTCGTCATCTGACTGTTGGAAATCGGATATAGACGTCGTTGGTGAGCTGTGCTGGAGGATTGACGAAGAGGGGGTAAACGAGCTTGAAGAAGATGACTTCAAGGATGATTCTGTACTTGCTCTAGGTTTCAGACTCAACTTTTGATCAAGCGTCAAAATATCAAGCTCGTCGTCACTAGTTGAATACTCTGAATCATCCTCCATAAAGTTGTTAAACTCTATAGGCGTATCCTGATTTAGTACGAAATCTTCTTCCCAATCCTCGTTCACTTCCATCGCTGCTTGTTTTTATGCAACCGCCAACGAAGTCTAAAATAAATTACAATAAAATTCTAACAAAATTTAATTTTCTATTCGTGATTTATATCTTTGAGTTAAACCAACGCGTCAGATTCTTCGCTTTTTTAAATCTCCTCCTTGGCTTGGTAGATTGGCTCCGTCATAAGAATAGAACACCGCTACCAATCACGCTCTTAATCTTGATAATCGCGCCATTATTAAATAAGCTAACATCTAAATACGCTCTGTATTGTCATTTGTTAGCTTTGGTTTCTCAATCTGGTAAAAACATCCTATCAACGACCTCCACATTGCATTACAAGCATACAGACAACTTGTTCACTTTCACGCAGTTATCAACCAAATACTTCTGTTACAAGTTACTCAATTATTTTGAGAGTAGTAGCGCAAGTGATTCATTTGCATTTACTTTCTTATCAATCTTATCAGCTTTGGTAGTGGTCAGGAGTTACGTACCTCAGTATACCGCTCACTTCTTGTTCATTAACTTCTTCTTTTACTTCGTCGTTGATCATATCCACGATTTTTGCCAACAGTATAAAGTACGCTTGACGGGTTCCTGGGATATGAAGTCACCAAAATTGCGATCTGATCATGTTAGTTGATGGACGGGTTTTGAGCGGTGATTAGTTATTTTATAATAATTATTTTTCGATAGTGTCACTTCGGATTACAGTGAAAATGACTAGTGAAAGCGTTGTTCGACACTCGAAATGCACCATCTGGAAACAATCACTTTAAGAAATATGGTTAAGCCAGCTAAACGCAGACGTATGTCATATAGCATCGACCAAAGTATACCGAAATTACATGTATGTTTGTCTTTTCGGATAATGCGCTGATTTTGATGAATAATATATCTATTTGAACTCTCACTTCATCTTATTTGCCTTCTGTAGTTTCGAACAATCTAACATATTATGACCTATGAGAATTCTAGTCAACGTCATTCAAAGTGTTCTGCTACTACTCCGAAGATCTAAAGCACGGGTAATCATCACCGGAGTCGGTGAAGATCTCCTCATGCACCAATACTATAAATCCAAATAATCATTTAAACTCCACTGACGGCAATATGATCGTAGAACCCAAAAGTGCTAAAGTGCATTCTGGCATCAATATCGCGTATGCGACTCGAGGCAACCCAGCTCAGCGCGCCATTCTGCTCATTCACGGCTATCCCCAGACCAGGCACTCGATGACGAAACTTCAGAATTTGCTATCAGATGCTGGGTATTTTACAGTTGCTGTTGATTATCGTGGTGCTGGTGGCAGCTCAATCACCACTGATGGCTATGAGAAGATGACGATGAGCGCCGATTTACATAGTTTGATGATGGATGTCTTTGGATGCCGTAAATATACAGTGCTCGGTCAAGATATAGGTGCGATGATAGCTGTTGCACAAGCTATGCAGTTTAGAGATAGCGTAGGGGCGTTGGTCTTCATGGGTTAGTGTGACTTTAGGGGTAGTCATTAGCTCACACCTTGCAACAGAATGTCCTCTCCCTGGTACGAGTCAGTATGACTTGTGCGTCAAAGATCGTAACATCGCATCTGACGACATCTTCCACTTCTTCTTCCACCAGCCTAGAGATCTACCTGAGTTGCTCACGCAGGGCAAGGAAAGTCAGTATCTTCAACACTTTTATGACCGCCTATCCTTCAAACCTGGGTGCATGTCGAAAGACGATGTGGATGAGTACGTCAGAGCGTTCTCAAGAGTTGGACGCATGAGAGCTGGTTTCGAGCTTTACAGAGCATTTAGAAGAGATGAGCAAGATGTGAAGGCTAACCTCGCAGAATTTGGTAAGCTGTCGATCCCTGTTTTGGCGACTGGCGGTGAACATAGTCTTTTCACAACTTTGATTGAGGGTATGGCAGCAGAGGTGGCTTATCAGTATGATTTTGGGAGAGTCAGAGACTCCGCCCATTGGGTCTCGGAAGAGAATGCGAATGGTTTGTTCGATTTGGTGTCGTGGTTTTTGAAAAAGCATCTTGATTGTACATAATTTATACGCAGCACTTAGCGTCTACGAGAATGTGTTGTGGTTAGAAGGCTATTTCCATTACCCTAAAAGGGTAAATTATGTATAAGAAATACTGATAGATGCAGTTAAGCCTTTCGTATGTATAAACAAATATCTCATTGAATGTGTAACGGTGTTAGATATGAGCATGAAAGTAACAGTGTAGTATTCAAGCATGGCATTCCCCAATATTTGTCTGTAATGCTGTGCTGAGAGGTGGATCTTATGTAATTACGAGGACAGGACCAATATTCGAGAGTCAGATATTGTGCGTTAAGCTACATAAACACCACCCTCCTGTATAATCATATGTTAGTAAAGTTGTTATCAGTTATATGTGCTGATAATGCGAGCTAAGCTAGCGCCATATCATACTACCGCTTTTACTCTCTCGAAACGTTAGAATAACGGATTTTTAGTCCATCCACTTAAATGTCTAGAGTTTATGACCATCGTCCACCCTAGAGGTAATTTTAAGATTATCAGCTGTGTTTTGATATTAACAGTGAGTAAGTTGCTTCGATCAACAAGCTTCGGTGGTCTAGATGGTTATGATTTCGGTCTCATAAGTTATGAGTCCCTTCTAGGGATGCAATCCGAAGGCCCGTGGTTCGAGTCCGCGCCGAAGCATTAATTTTTGCATTGTATTTCGATATCGCAAGATTATCTTTTTTGCACAATATTTTTTGGAGAAATAAACTTTTTATTCCCGTTACTTTTGTTTGCTTTCGCTCACGTTATTTAGCATGTCTCTTTGAGAAGGAGGACAGTGTGTTACTCCGTAAAAGTCTATATTCACAGTATTTTTAGCTTAAGCTTGTACATTGTTTTGCATAAAAGGATACTACATGATTTTTCAATGCAATATATGTGCTAGATGAGCCTCTGTGTGCCATGTTAATTCAAAAGGATGTTACCAAAAGTGAAAGTGATAATTCAAGAATAAATAATACATTATATATAGCGTAACGCGTAGAGGTGTAGATGAAATATCTTATCTAGTACAGTAACATTTAACTCTATTCATAAGGAGACAAACCGCTCTGAAACGATGATATTCTAGCTGTTGAGTATAATGTTCTATACGAATAATATCTCGAGACTCGGATAATTCCACATCAAGGATGCTTTTTGAATCTAAAGAGATAACAACGCTGAGAAGACGAATGATAGGAAATATTGAGAGATAAAACTATATAACGATATAAAATACAAATAATTATTGTATTATATTATAATATATTCATGTGACGAAACAAGTAATTCTCTTGATCGACTACTTTCAATATGGCACAGCGTAAATTATTGACAGAAGTGGATAGGACGCTAAAGAAAGTATCAGAAGGTGTTGAACTCTTTGAGAGTATGTATGAGAAGTTACAGGTTCGTTTATATAGCGAGATATCTTCGTCGCTAAATAGCCACTCAGACGTCAAACAACCAAACGCAGAAGGAGAAGCTTGAAGTTGATTTGAAGACGCAGATGTGGGTAGCTTATTGATAATCCACATCCTTTATCTTATATATCTCCAGCAAAAAGCTTCAGCGAATGCGTGACTCTATCAAGACCTGGATAAGCTCAAGTGATATCAAAGATAAATCTGAATTGATGTCGTCTAGGAAGCTAATAGAAACTGTGAGATTTATTTATTATATTGTCTACACAAGCTGACGTCTACTCGTATAGCAAATGGAACGTTTCAAAGCTTGCGAGAAGGAAATAAAAACAAAGGCATTCTCCAAAGAAGGTCTAATAGCAGCTACTCGTCTCGATCCAAAAGATCAAATAAAGCAGGAATGTTCGAATTGGCTGGGACACTTCGTCGATGAATTGAGTCGGCAGATCGAAACAGCAGAAGCAGAAATCGAGCAGCTCTCAGGTGCGACATCTAAGAGGAGTAAAAAATCAAACGCTACGCAAGAGAGAGTCTCAGAGTTAGAGCAGCTAAACGAACGTCGAAATTGGCACATATCTAGGCTAGAATTGACGATGAGATTGCTTGAGAATGATCAGTTAAGTGTTGATCAGATAAACAACATTAAAGATGATATTCAGTACTTTGTCGAAAGTAATGGTGAGGAAGAGTTTGAAGAGGATGAAGGAATCTACGACGAGCTCAACCTTGATGAGGAGGAGCAGATGTATGGTATGGGTACAGCGAATGCTCAACCTAACGATGAGCAAGCTTCTTCTCATGATTCAATATCTGTCACAGATGAGCCAGTACAGCCGCCAAGCAAGCCATCAAAGAAGTCATCAATTGATGAGGATAGTCTGACGCCAAAGAAAACAAAGAAGCCTTCAATCACTTCTCCCGACAGCAGTAATAATGGTGCAATTCCAGCACCAAATTTCAACCAACCCCCAGTTGCAAAATCTACTGCTTCTCCCGCTGCTCAACAGGCAAAACCAGTTCCTGCTCCACCTACAATCAAGTATGCAACAGCTGCTGCTAATGCAGTAGCTAACACAGCATCATCAGCACCAGTTGATGACGAACATATTGAAGAACAACCAAGAGAATCACAGGATCAACTAGAGAGCGTGGAAGTTGATGGAAGCCAGCAAGAAGATGGTCAATCAATCCCACCAACTCAAGTTCAAAGGTCAGAATCTGAAGAACAATCACAAACATCTACAGCATCTGCAAAGGGATTACCATACGTATTATCAGATTTAGCAGCTTCATTCGAGAATGCCAAGCAGAAATCGAGAAGTAATAGCCCTAACAGACTTCATCAAGCGCTTGAATCGACCATGTCTGGAGTACCTGAACCATCTGACGCAGATCGTCCTCGTTATTACGTACCAAAGAATTTGTGGACTTCACCTTCTTATTATCCACAAGTACCTAAGAAGGACCTTGAGCATTCGAATTTGTTTTCAAGATTGGAAACAGATACGCTCTTCTATATCTTCTACTACATGCAAGGCACTTACCAACAGTGAGTATGAGTTTATTTGCACGCAATAATTTAACATTCTTTTTAGATACCTCGCTGCACGTGAATTGAAAAAACAGAGTTGGAGATTTCACAAGCAATATTTGACCTGGTTCCAACGACACTCGGAGCCTAATCAAATAACAGATGATTATGAACAAGGTGCATATATTTATTTTGATTGGGAAGGTACCTGGTGCGAGCGCAAGAAGAACGACTTCAAGTTCGACTATGTCTATTTGGAAGATACGCTCCAGTGATTGTTCATGGCACTTTCTTGTTCATTTACATTACATTACAATTGTAATTAAATTAAGATTTATTTCTTTAACTTTCTTCTTTCTTGTCTATCAGCAATTAGGCATGATAACAAGAAGATTAGCTGCCGCGAGAATTAATAATACGCTTTCAAAAAGCGTATATCCAAGTAGTATATGTAGAAATTACAGTTCAGATGCTAGTAGGAGACACAAAGCGGTATATAGAGAGATATACCCAGCGATGATAAGAATTGGTGTGGTGGCTATGATTGTCTATTATGTGGGTAATATAAGGCCTATATATAGCGCATCCTAATGTAAAATACACAGGGATTACAAGTATCCTGGTCATATCTCTACAAGCAGCGTCTTGAGATTGAGCTTGAAAAGCAAGTAAAGGAGTTGGAGAACAAAGTAGACGATAGATACTACGGTAATAGTAAACTAGATGCTCTGGCTGAAGCACCAAAGTCTACAATATCACAGCTCAGATCGTGGATTGGATTGTAGGCAGTATATGAATGTGTAGTGAGCGTGAAATAGAAACATACAAGCGTAATATAAAGAGATTAATAGTTATGAATTACATTAGATTACAGTACATCGTCATCCGTGTCTATTACGATAGCCATCTATCTAGTAGCTAATAAAAATGCAAACATGCACTATGTGTCTCCGCCATAACGCCTTTTCATTTCTCTATACTTTGATAGTGAAATGAGTGATAAAGTCTCTTTCTTGATGTACTCCCCAAATGCGAGTTTCTTGTCTATTTCTACTGGATCTGTGAGATGTCTATTCTCTAGGGGTCATTTAGTTGTTTCATCATTAAATAGAAGTCACTCACTCTCAAACATCCCTCTCAGCTTCCGATGGAACTCATACTTCGGGTTTGGATCTGATAGAGTTAGCTATTTTACTTAATGGGTAGGAATATCACACACAATCTCTACCTATTCTATGAAGCTCTTTATATAATCTGATTGCCGCGTATCTTTGCTCTTTCATCATGATAGCTTTGATTAGACAATCAATAGAAAAGTGAAAAGGTATAGATTACAATATTTACATATCAGGTACTTTAGAAAGACTAGTATAATGCTTATCCCATAATTTAAGCGTACTGAGAAGGCCTGCTGTCAAACCGACGATAGCTTGAGTACCTTCTTGTCCTTTCTTGAATCCGAATACGTCATAAGCTGAGACTGTTAGTAGGAGCTTTCGCTGATCAATTACACTCACAGACGAATATAAAGTCACAGACATACTTGAGCGCAGACAATCTAGCCCACATCTGAGTGGATTCGGCTTTACGGATGTCAGCATCGATGCGTAAGAATGCACCGAGTGTCTCGTCACTCAAACTATATTCTACTTTGTTTGATAATTTGTCTTCTGACATATCTTCGAGACATTGTTGTAAATGATCTTGTCTTGATTGTAACTTTCTAATTTGTCCATTAGTTACAATCTCATTAATTGCGCTAATGTTGAGTTGTAAAAAGGTATCAGTCCACCAAAATAATGCGCCATATTTCTCTGCTAATTTCCCTGTCTTAGACCCCACTAATCCGAGTTTTGAAGCACAGAAAAAGTCGTCAGCTATTGAATTTGGTATTTGTACTATTGCTGAAATGAGTGTGAGACGGCCCTTGAGTGCGTCGAGGAAGTTTCCTGCAGGTTGCTTTGGTGCTTTTAAGAGCTGGTAAAGGTCAGGTATAGTTCTCTTCCATGCGAATAAGATGAGACACTTTCTGGTAATATACTTAGCATTCCGTTATAATCGCACGAACGACTAACTCACCTTGTCGTCGAGAGACCCGACGCACAGTTCTTGAGATAAGGAAGCCAATCTTTGGCTTGAATACTAAGATTTGGGTTGCTCTTACTACGCCATAAGAACAGTTTTATTGCGTATTGGATGATTTTCTGATCATTTGTGAGTAACTTGATTAAAAAAAGTAGTGAGAAAAGCGTACAAAGATCTTGTCTCTACCCGCGTCAGTTGCTAACAACCTGTCTATTACTATTTACACCAATTAGACGCGTAAATTTAGCTTAAAGGGTTCCCTTACTCTGACTGGTTGAAACTTTCATACGATTTGGCATAGCCGCATGTAAGAGCTTTCCTGTGTTAGAGAGTGGTATGCCATATCTCTGCGCCTGCTCAATCCATGGCGTTGTCGGGAGGTATGATGGTGTTCTGACCATGTCGTTCGTTTATAAGAAACAGTGATGGTATGAATCGAAGGGAAATTCAATTTATTTGCTAACAGACAAACAGGCGAACGCGTCTCAAAAGAAAACTACGGCTGGTAATCAAAAGTCTATACGTATATTGCAATTTGGTAATCTCGGCTTTATACTCTTGCATGCGATAAGCAATTACTTGCTAGGAAGAAAATACTTTTCTATTACTGCATTGATATTGACTATACCTGGTGCTATCTGCTCTTTTCTTCTCAATAAGTGGGGTAAACCTGTCTTCTCTGACAATGGTCAGATTCTGTCTTCTGGAGAGGACCTCAGCGCGGAAGGGGGATTAATAGAACATATTTGGGATGTCGTTTATATAAACTGGATTTGTTTAGCCATGACTGGATTCTTTGGACCTATTCTATGGTGGATGTTCATTATCGTAAGCTCTTCAGTTGTGGCTGTATTAAGTATCTTATACGCCATCTAGGTACCTGCATTTGCTTTGTTTAAAGCTGTTAGCTTTGCACTCCCGTGGATTATGCCAGCAGCTGGTAAAATGCGTGACGCAATGTCATCACAAACCACGGAAGAGCCAGTCGAGAGTAAGAGACAGCAGAAACTCAGACAGAGACAACAAAAAGGTCAACCAACAAAGAGACGTTGAAAATGTATGTATGTATATATATATAATCTATCCTACTTCTTACGTGATTGGATACCACTTGCCATCTTCTGTAATGCCTTTGGTTGATTCCTAACCCAGTAAATCTTTGATCTGTGCATTTTACCTCTCTTAAGAACTTGTATGTCCTTAACTAAACCACTACCAAGACTGAAAATTTGCTCAACACCGAGTTTCATGATAACGTTTCTAAGTCTAATGGTAACATCATTGTTGCGTCTTCTAATACCGATGAGAACACCTGCAAAAGTTGCTGTATGTGTTTTTTCAGGGTTTGTGTAATAAGTTACAGTTATAACTGAACTTGGTGGAATTCTAGATTTGATTGGACCTCTACGGCTGAATAAGGGGTAAAATTTACTAGATTCTGAGCTGTATTTGAGTTGATGGTTGAATCTACCAAGGGTGTTCAAAGGTGCATCCTTTGGTGGGATAGAAGATGGTTCAATGTGTGGTACCAGCAGTTGTTTACTGAATGGGAATGATTTTGCGTCTATTTAACGTAAATGTCTGGCTTATACGGTAAGCCCTATAACTCACCTCCCAAAGGTTGATATGAAGCGAAACGTAAACCAATGTTGTTAGAAACCCTACAAGATCTAGAAAAACTACTAGCTAGTAATTTTAAAGACATTTCTAATTTTTATATGATGGTTGTATGAGAGAAGACTTCTTTTCATAGTGCGATCATGTTGAAATCTACAGCTTTGAAGTTACAAAGAGTAAAATATACTACGACAGTAGCGCCATTAAGTGACAGCGCTAAGCGCGAATTAATCACACTTTTCAATCAATCACAGAACTTTTTGAATAGCGCTGAAATACCAAACAAGATTGATAGTACACTAACAAACTCAAACCCTGGTTTACCACATCACCTTACAACTGTAAAGTTTGAGAAATCTGACAGCAGCTCAAATAGCAAGCCATTATTGAGGTCTAGTAGGCTACACTTCAATGAGGACATCTACAGATCTGGATTTGACGAATTTGGAGATAGAATACAATGGCCTAGCCCAGGTGTACACAACTTATCTGATAGGGAGAGAAGTCTTAGAGACACATTATTCGGTACAGACAGCGACGGTGCACCAGGATTAGAAATCGTTGAGGAAGCTGAAGGCCAACTGAAGAACACCAAATAGAAATATATTCCTGTATTGTAATTTTATTCTTTCTTCCTGACTTCGATGATCGAAATATCAAAACAGAATTTCCTGACGAGTTTGTTAGCAATTAAATAATAGAATACTTCTAATAGATTTATCTAAGTCGTCATATTGATTCTACCCGCTGTCGCACCCAAGCTGATAGCTGCGTCGAAGAGACTCTCCGATTTACACACCAAAGACAGTTTCAAGGTGTGTACTCGCTGTTCTTCTATAATACACCAGTTAATCCAATCAAGCGTCTAGAAACTAATGAGAAAGCTATCAGACCACTCGCACTCGTAGCTACCGTCATAGTCTTCAATCTAATTAAAACTATAAAGACGGCACTCACGGCAGAGAATTTATTCTCAAAGTTACCAATAAATGCATCACAGACGCTCTTAGAGAACGTCTATAATCCTGAACATGACGAGTCCTTATCAAAGTTCTTCTCAAGGCTGAATAGCTTCGATCTGCGTTTGCAATATATAAGATGGGGTGATAGAGCTACGCGTCAATGTACATGGTGCTCTCCTCAAAGTGGAATTGACTTTGCGTGAGTTTGGTGTCTTGCAACGCGTATTACTTCTAATTGTGAACGATGCAGATTGGAATCCTTTAGCGGAACTTTCGCACCCTACATTATCACTTGCTTAGGTCTTCTATTCTATATACAACTCCAACAGAAGCTGCATCTTCGTAAACCACTTTTGATTACTCTCTGTGGTACTTTCTTAGGGCATTTCGCAACTTTGAACATATACGACACGCGTCCAAACCCTAATTTCCCACCAACAATCGTGAGCGAGAACCTCATACTCTTCCATAATGCTAACTTGTTCATTTAAGCTCGCCAATAAGCTCACATTACTCAGTTATGCCTTTTTGACTACTATATCGATATATACGCTCGCGGTAAAACCAAATAAGTACCTTTCATCAGGCGCCGACCCGATAAGCCTCCTGAAACCAATAGTTGTACCTCAGAAAGCTCTCCTCACCTCTATCAAAGCGCTTAATGTCACGAATGAAGCCCGAAGAACTCTCAATCTGAATCAAAAAGTACGCTCGGATAGACCTAAGAGAGGCGGCAGTGCTGATATAGAAACATACCAACTCATTGAAAAAGAAGCTGACCAACTAGCTGATGCGTTCGGTCTATAAATGGCGATTTAGTAATAATTATATTTGTAAAATATTGTAATATGCATAGTATTATACACTAAAATACATGTTAGATATCACTTAATGATCATCTTCGTCAAATCCTGGACAATTTTCATTCATATCGTCTTTAGAGTCATATTTTGTACCACTTGGGGGTGTAAATTATAGTCATTATTTGGTAAAATAGCCAAACTCACCACCAATAACAATAGTAGTGCACTTCTCTGGCATATTCTTGAGTGAATTTCAATCGAATAATTGGCTATAATTGTTATTAGAGATAGATCATGATAACTTCTCCTGCTTACATCTAATTTCAGAAAGTCTTTGCATTGTTGCACAACTTCAGGATCAACGTCATCAATATTCTGAATGCTCTTATCGTTGTATTCATCACCATCTATATATTCATCGCGTAACTTTTCATTTTGCATCTGTTCTTTCAATCTTTGTGCTTCTGATTGTTTGTCATAGATATGCTGCACAGGCTGTACATCCTCAGAGAGTATGAAAGGGGGGTATGTTTCTATGTCGTACGGATTAATCCAAAAGACATTGAACTGCATGATTTTGTTAGAGTGTTTAATAGTATAAACACTCATACTAACCTTTATTTCTAGATCTTCATCTGCATTCTTGATAGTTGTACGTAATTGTTTGAGTATACCCTCAGATTTACGTGCATTAGCTTCATAAGTCTTACGTAATCTGAAATCCTGCTGATTCTCATTAAGAGCGTTGCTAGCTGCAGCAGCTTCCGAAATCTCCTTCGATGAAACGATTCTCTGTACACCAATACCAGATCTACCTTGTAAAAAGTATGGTTTTACAGGTTCAGAGATGGTTTTATTGTCAACCTTGATTGACTTATTGGATTGATCAACCTTATCATCATTGTCGTCATTTATACGCTTTCCTAAAGATTGACCAGGTTTAAAACCCATTTTCATCATCATATTGAGAGCTTTGTTAGAGGAACCTTCAACTGGATTATCATCGGTTGCTGCTTCCTCTATAATATTTCGTTCAAGACCTTCTTCTATTTTTTCACGTTCACGTTGCTTTTTAGAGGCTATACGTCCAGCTAGGTTCTTATCCTCACTATCTTTAATTGCTTGTAACCTCATCTCTCCATAAGTTTGATGTTTACCTTTAGATTCCTTCTTCTCAAATTCAGCTGCTTGAGTTAAGAAAGCGTCATCCATGAAATCGACTTCATCGTCACCTTATTAGTTTCATCAGATATTATAGTTCATTAGTTTATTTACTTAGAACTCACTCATCTTGGTTGTTGTAGAAGAACGTCCAACATCAATGTCAGACGATGAAGATTATAGAAAAGCTGCTCTCAGAGCTTTAGAAGCGACACTTGAAAGTCAATTCGCAGCTCCTTCAGATAATCATCTAAGTGATGAGGCTCTAAGCGACGACGATGGTCAGGACGATAACGCGGAACCAAATGAAGAGGAATTTGATAGTGATGATGATATTATTGGTGAAAGTACAGCCGCTGAAGTTGATGAACTCTTTAGCCTTGGAAAAAGTGAGCTTCTCAGATTTTGATAAGCACTTTATCTTACAATCAAACCAGATAAAGGGAAAGCGAAAGAAATCAATGATGATACCAATAAGAAACTACAAAATCAGCCAGAGGTTGTCGTATTCGGTGAAAATACCAGTTCATCAGCACCTAGGGATAAGGATAGCAAACGAGCACAGAAGGCATTCATGGTGAGTTGCAGTCTATTTATATACCATCATTAACACCGATAGTCATCTAAAATAGATAAAGTACAAAAAGGCCCATCACAAAATACAAATGCTAAACAACGCAAACCAATCTCAGAATTGAGTGAAATCGATAAGACAAATCTAGAGAATGACAAAGAGTTAGAACATCTTCTCCACTCTCAGCTCTTTACAATGCCCGAAAACACTAAGAATATGAAAGCAGGTGATAAAATGCGAATGTATGAAGGTCGCTTGTTAGAGATAGCAGGTAAAGCAAAACTCGGATCTGGTGCTGCAAATTTAAAGAAAAAGGAGCACAAAAATGCCAGTGGTTTAATTCGTACCGGTTTAGAACGTCGTGAGAAGGAAGTCAAACAAAACGAACTTCAACGCGCTAAAGATCTTGGAATTTATGACAAATCACTCAAACACGTTTACGAAGATGCAGAAAGTGGGAAGAAATCTGTCAAGCGTTCATTCGGTAATGTTAATGCTGATCGTGACAACAAAAGACAAAAAGGTCTCGGTATGGGTGTCGGTAAATTCAAGAATGGTATGCTTACAATATCGAAATCTGAAATTGATTCTGTAAATTCTCAACCAAAGCGGAAAGGTAAAAAATAGAGCTTTTCGTGGAAGGCATCACGATACACAACTGATTAAGGCCTGAACGTGACGGAATACCACTATCCGATGCGTGCGCCATTGCACTATTGCAATTCGTGTGAGATGAAAATTTGAGTACAATAATATCTATCGTTTCCTAATTTTCGATTTTTTATAATTTCATAAATTTTTGGATGATCTTTAAAACGTTTGACAATATTGTAGAAGGTAGCTTTAGCAAAATTGACGGATTGAGTCGACTTACAATGAATGACGCGATAAACTGGAAGAAATATATTATATAAATAAGTTATTTTAAAAAGGTAGTGTAACTTTGTCAGAATACAGATACAGGGCTGAACATACAGCATCATTTAGTGACTAAGGATAGAAGGAACAAGGAGTTACACCAAGAACCAAGAGGAACACCGAGGCGCAGTAGAGGACAAGAGGACGACAAGGAACATGAGGACAGTAGAGACTATATAAAGAAACATATCTTGTAAAAAGAAACAATCATCTTAAATGATCATTCTATAACGTACTTATACTTTCACAACCTATAATAAAGCGTGTCTGATATTTACGTACCAACAAACTTCCAGACGTATCATATTAAAGTTTTGCTTCTTAAAACTCCACTGATGAAATTGATAATCCAACATAATAAATTAGAATATTTACAAAGAAATTAGTACAGGCGTCCTGGGTTCGAATCCCAGTGCGTGCATTTTTTGTTCTGCGTTGAGAAGAGATTTTTTATTTCAATATTATTAGTTATTTTGCTAATTTGCTATGCGTGCTAACAAACACTTTCCGATTGATTCGATTTAGATTAATTTGATTTTTGGAATGTTAAAACATCGAACATACAACAATTTAGTGACATGCATTAAATGGACATTTAATAACTTTTACAAATACAGCTAATACTTTTTAGTAATATTCGTAGAATGCTGCCTTAAAAAGGTAAAAAAAAATCCTGAAAAATTCCCTAAAGCACACATACATGAAAATTTAGAAAGGTCATTGCGTCTACTTGCAGCTTTAACTTTCTTAAAACATAAGTAATGGCGAGAACAAGGTCTAATGGTGTATTAAGCAATTACAACTCTAATGGAGGGAAGGGGCCTAGCGGATGTAATAAAATTGAATCAAAGGAGAAGCGAAAAGGTGGCGTAAGTGTAGAAAGTAGAACTATGAACCCTTCTGAGGACTTGCTCCTATAGCCTCCTAGGGGGTTTATTGTAAAAGCATACAGGTGCGTGTCTTAACAAAGCCACCTCGCAGTCAACTCACATTCCTAGAATCCCCTTTTTCCAATCATCTTGGTTTCATTCTGTTTTTCATTCTGTTGTTTTAACGAATGTGGTTTCTTGATCACAGACCGAAACATGGTGAGTAAATAAGGGAGTATTATCGTATCACCAACTTCTTGGTAGTTAGAAGCTGTATTAAGGGATTATGGTGCAATTTAATTCAGATCATCACCCAATCTAATCTCATTTATAAAAAAAAAAAAAACTGCCAATCACACTTCCATAGTGAGTCAGTTGTCTCATAACATTGCAAGACCTCAACGATGGTTAGACTGGGCAAAAGTGTCCATTTAATGATAGTGGTATTAAGAGTAGAACGTTTTGTAAATTCCAAATTCCAATTGATTCAAGAAATGTGTGTAATCCGTTAGACAAAAACTTAGACTGATTATGGCGATAGCTGACTGTATTCTTTAATAGTAAGAGAAAACCAAAGAGAGGAAGTGATGCGATATCTCCATTTTTAAGTTTCTAGCGAAGGAAATGTAAACAGTGACGAACTCGCTATTGTTGACATTCCTGTAGGCAAGTTAGAAGACGGCGCAAACAAGATCAAAGTACCTTTCGTAGATCATACAAATGATAGTTCATAAGAGAGACATATTCACTGTAACAGAAAGCTCAGTTCAACGAATTTGTATATCTAATACACCTTCTACACTTGACTTAATCTATAAGTATATGAAAACACCTGAGTCACGGTTCCATTAATCCTCAGTTCGTAGTACTATTTAGCCATGCTTTGAATTAGTTCATAGGCCATAATGTACAGATACAACACTAATACCAGTCTGCAAAATTAAGACAATAGTTCAATTATGATTCAAAATCATGAAAATAAGTTTATAGAATTTAAATTTTACACAAAATAACTATTCTTACACTGCCGTCATTGTAACTTTCGAGGAAATATACAGTTTCATTATCTTTTTCTTTGCCAACGTAAATTATCTGAGATGTAGTTGTGTCATTGTTATTATCATCGGAATTGATTTTTGCGAGATCAGGTACGCTAACGGTTGAATTATCCTGAAGACCTCCCCTAAGGTCCACTTTTTTATTACCATTGTGTCTTTCAGAGAGGTGTGTGGTTGATGAGAAAGCCCTCTTATGTGCTGACTTTGGAGGTAATGATGTGCTCCTTAATCTGTGAACATAGGGTAATCTTCTACCTTCACGAGACATATTAGCTTCCCATCCGGGCAATGCTTTCTCTCGTTCAGATGGTGTACTTAAGAGTGCATCAGCTATGTCTAAAACTTCAAAACTACTATCACGTATAGCCACAATTGCAGCTTTACTACCATCATCTGATGTTGATATCATTTCAAATTGTTTTATATCTCCATGTGTATCAACATTATTGTAATCCCAATGTATACCGCTACCTCTAACAATAGATCTACCAACTTGGTCTACCAACATTGTTGGTAAGTTTCTTCGTGCTACTAAATATACATTTTGTGGTCCTTTTTGAGGTAATGATGGATCGCTTATTAAAGAAATTGGAGGTAATAATGGTGTTGGTGGGTCAAGGCTTTTTAATGAGTTCGCAGGTGATTGTTGAATTATTGATCCTAGTGCTATTATAAATGGTTTTTCCGCTCCAAATTGAGATATCAACTCTGTTAATGTCTTATGATACCTCATTTTTTGATGTCGAATTGGTAAATTACTTAAAAACCTTTTACTAGTGTACCAATTCTGCATAGTTTTACTCGACCAAGGGCCTTTAGGTTGTTAGTAAATTTAAAAATCATACATTCGATAATACCTACCGTGTTCAATACCTCTCGGGTCAAGATAAAACCAACAACGTTTAGTTTCCTCTTCCCTAGCTAAACCGCTATTCGTAGATATTTGTGAAGCATTCTTGTTCATTATTATACTCCTACTTTTTTGCGCTTCAAGGTCATCATAGCGAGGTGGAAGAGTAAACATCTTCTCAAGAGAAGCAGCGGGGAGTGGAGGAGGGAGTTGAAGTTGTATAAAGGTTGTATAGTGAGGGTTGACGACAATTTTTTTATTATCCTGTTGTGGAGATGGTGTTTCAACTTGTTGAATTTCTGTTTCGGGTGTTACCACATTCATATTATCTGTAAATGTACTTGTAGGTCTTTGCAAGAATGGTCGTTGCAGTAAACTAGTCCACCTGCTTAAACCACTCCCAAATCTTGTACTTTGCCGACGAGTTGGTGCTGTATTCATAGCACGATGATCAATAAGTGGTGGCGTGAAGTTAGTGTAAGAATTATTCGCCGAAATAGTCGATGCTAAAGTGTTTACTGATGCATCATTAGGTAATGGACCACCATCGATCTGATTTCGCGGTGTTACTTCATTGGGACGCTCGACACTATCAACAGAAGGTTCATCGATTTGTGATCTCAAGTTTTCTTGAATTGTACCAGCGGTGGGTTGTGCATGGTTTCTCCTACGTCTACCGTTCTTACCAACTTTGATCTCACGTACATGTATTGAGAAAGCTATAATAATGATTAGTAACGAACGATATTTAATAACTTCTACACTTACGATTAAGTGCAAATATGCTTTTATCGTAAACTAAAATAATTTCAGACATTTCATCGCCCTTTATTGACAATTGCATATCGACTGGCTTATCTGGTAATATGAAAGCCTTGACTAAGGACAAAGGAGCATGTTGTGTACCAGCAAAGAGTGATACAGTGGTCTGATCAGCTGGTTGCTTGGTTTCATTATCCGGGGGAGTAAGTGACAGCGTCGCTAAATAGCTCAACTCGGTAGTTTCAGCTGTTCGCAAGAGAGAAGGTTCATTAACATCGCTTAAATTCCTATATGATAATCTAAAAGATTGATGACCTTTGCTTGTCACATTATCAGATTTTCCGTGCCGCGTATGTCTTAATTCCATTTCCCTTCTCAAGATATCACTCGAGAGTGGCGTAAGCTCTTCACTTCTTGATCGCGTATGTTGAATAGGTGGAGTTTGGTGTGTTGGTGTATCTAATCTCCGTGGTTGTCTTGCATTCCTACGCTGGTGTAACGGCACATTACTAGCATTTGCTCTAAGTGGCGTTGCCGTATTAAATAAAGAACTATCAGCCTCAATTTGAAATGGCAATGGGGGTAATGCGGGTGATGCTATATTTGGTAAACTTGGGGAAGTTGTAAAAGGTGGTGTGGTTGGGGTAGGCGGTGCCAATTCGTAATTTAGTTCAAGAGCTGGCGGCGCGGGCGTGCGTAGATCCGGTAAAACGTTTAAATGTTTTGTTGAAATATCCCATATTTTTAAACAAGTTTGATCAACTTGACGCAAATCATAGTATCTTGCTGATTTCTCAACTGAGAGTAAAATCACGCTTGTTAAAGGTAGAATTCTAATAGAATGACAATCCTTTAACTTTTTCAATAAAATCCTAGGTTGTTTATCAATTTCCATCAAAGGTAGACAGTATACTGAATCGACTGAAGCTATCAGAATAAAACCGGCTGGAGTGAGAACTGCAGAGTTTGGACTAGAGCTTAATTTACTATCATTAAGGCATTTTAATTTTAAATTTATCTGCTTTAATTCTAAAGCTGGTAGTGTCATTTAATCAACCTAATCCAGCGATGATGCTACTAATATAAGTGCCTACCTAAATGGGAATGTAGAAAAATTTAAATTAATGCTAATTTGATTGATCTCTTTACAATACTGTCTCACTTTCTTAATTTTGATTTCGTGTCTTGAGGTTTCCCATGGACACCATACTGAGGAATTTAGTCGTAGAAGAATGCAAGAGGGGCGACATACCTTTTCTTGATAATCCTTTTCTCTCCTAAATAATAAAATATGCGGTTCAGGTGCTAAATTTCATTAATATTGCTTTATTGCTTATCAAAAGTAGTTGTACTCACCATGAGTGGCATACATTTCCCAGCCGAGTGATTGTGTGATGCCCATACCTCGCCATTCGTTCTCTGAGAGTATACGTAATACTCCGCTATCGTCAGCTTCAAAGTAACTCCTAGGGAGCAAACGTAAAACTTGTTTTGGTAAAATTACGTGTCTATATTCAAAGAAATCATCTGAATATCTATCTGAGTATATTACTATAGTAATATATAAATGAGTTCTTATCTCCTCTTTAAAGTACTACTCACTCCGATCTGTGATGAGTTGAACGAGATATCTAATCGTATAAAACGCACTAACCTGCGTAATCTACGACTATATTTTAGAATATTGTATTAATCTCTCAATTAAACTTACCTAATACGCTCATCTCTACAGCGCGGGTATTCTTGGTGGTCGACAGCCAAAATGCGAAATAGCAGAGTATTAAGGAATACAAATTTAAATATCAAACATCAACATTTCATAAAACCTACACTTGAAACCGCTAGTGTATTTAAGAATATATTAAAATGGTCGTCTTTCTTTGGATTTCTCGGTTTAGTTGGTAGTCTAGCTGCATTTGAAGGTTTGAATCAATACGTAGAGTTTTATAAATTAGAAAGAGCTACATTAGCATATGAGCCACCTTCGAACGATATAGAAGAGTGGTCATTCGAGAATGATGATTGGTCTGGTGGCCAATCAGGCGGTACAGAACCAAGTTTGCCATGGAAAGCAGCACATTTAATTAGGTCAGCTTGGATAGCTTTAGAATGGGGTGTAGGTACAGCTAGTAATGCAGCTTCACTCAATCCATCACTTGAAATATCCCAATCGTATTTATTATCAGCAATAAACCACATAGAGAGTAATGATAACGTAAAAAACAAGGATATCGCTTTGAGCGCCCTTTATTTGAGATTGGCCGATATTCGCCAGAGGATGGGTACAAGAGTATCACTCAATAACGCACTCGATGGTTACGAAAAGGTACATTCTTTCCTGGTTTCCAAAGGTGGACCAAAGACAGCTCTCATGAAGGTTGAAAGAAGCGCAGGTGACGTTTGCAAGTCACTTGGTTTAGACAAAGAAAGCGAGAGATGGTATTTCAAATGCTTAAATCACTTTTCATCAAGCAAGAAGAATACTTCTTTCGGTGGTTACATGCCAAGCTGGTTGACGAGACGCCAGGAAGTGGACACTCAAATTGACATTAGATTACTATCCCCTTCGCAGTTTAGGGCTTACATAGACACTCTCTTGTCATTATCAAGACTATACTCAACAACAAACAGGTTGACAGAAGCAATGACAGTTCAGAAGAGATTGATTGATGTTTTGACCAACAGTATAGATACAAAGCAGGGATTGCAAAACGACTGGACAAAGCATTCATTAGCGTTGTCACAGGTGCATTTAGCTGAGGTCACATATGCACTTAACAAAAATAAACTAGATGAATCTCTGGGATGGCTTCAAAATGCAGAGCAATTATCTTCGAATGTTCACAGGTCTATCGAAAACGTCAATACAAGTGATGCCTTCAGTAAAAACCAAGCCCACAAACTCACCAACGCAAGTCAAAGAACTGCATCTGAATGTGCATACTTGATGGGAATACTTCATCAATCACATGACGATAAAGAGAGGGCATTGGGGTGCTTTGAAAGGGCTATCAAGACTACTTTACAAGTTGATACACTCACTAAAGATGATTTGGATAGTTTATCGAAGGACCCAATTAATAGGAAGTATATTGACGCATATAAGAATGTTAGAAAGTAATATTAATTAGTATATATATATATATATATATATACATTTGCATGATAATATATTTTATAAAACAAGCACTGAATAATTAATAACTACTGCGTGCGTATAAATAAATGAAAGTAAAAAGATGAAAAGGGAAAAGAAACCAGTGAGATTATCCATTATAATGGTAATCGAAATTAACTCCAATTCAAGCACGTAGATATGTACCAGGCACTTGACGTATTGAGCCGATTATCTTCTCTTACCTAATTTAGTGATTAGAAAACAATCACAAAAAATCCATAATTAATCATTCAACAATCAAAAGAATGAGTTTAACCATTGAAAAACTTTTTGTGAAGCTTGCTAAATTCAACCTCATTGACAGTCGTAACACCAACAGCGTGACCTTTCAAACGAAGGTTGCGATCATAAGTGATTAAAGCAACTTTTGAAGACGTAATATTCTTCTTTGCTTGTTGTTGCTTGAAAGGAACTGCCGTTGATCTCACTGGTGAAGCTTGTGAGAGTGTTGGACTGAAGGTTGATGAAGACAACGTTGGTGATTGAGGTGGTGAGTTCAAGCTAAAAGCGTTGACTGATGAATTTCTCTCAACCCAGTTGTTGTTTTGCCATTTAGCGACATCTAATATAACATCATCTAGTGTCTTCCTTTCTTCAAATCCTTCCATTCCTCCGACAGCATAATCTTCATACCTCATTGTGAGATCATTCAAGAAGTTGTTTTTTGATGTTTGTATCTTTTATTGGTGTGTTAGATTTATATTCAAAGTTAAGCTTAGCTCACCTTCAACGACTTGCTGCGCTCGACTGCGACATCAAGGTATGAAGTTGCGATCAAAGCTGCATTACCAAGTGCATTGTCACTCTTAGATAGACCATCCAATTCAGTTATGACTTGAGTAATGTTAGGCATTATAGACATAAAAGGATGAATCACTCACCTGCTAAAGGAACCACGCAAATCCATGACTCACTATCAATGAACGTCTGAACATATTCAATAGAATATAACATAACATTCGTATCAAATACGAGGGTTGTATATCCGGGTTGTAATGTATCGACAACAGTTGTATGTCCTTGTTGTCTAGCAATTTCATCTTTCTTTTGCTCTCTCATGAGATTCTTTAATTCCTTTCTACGTATTTTTAGTTGTTTGATCTCATCGTCATCATCATCACTATCAATTGCTGAACTAAGTGAAGATACATCGGATAAGTCATCAGAATCGATATCACTATCTGTATTATTTTGATATAATCCTTCCAATCTCCTTAACTCATCTTCTTGCTTCCTTGCTTCTTCAGCTCTCCACGTTTGGATCTTTTCTTCAAGTTCACCTCTAACTACAAATTGAATGTTTTCATTATCGAGGTATCTCAAATCAAATCCTTGAACTAATCTGGTTAAAATTGCGCTACTGAATGCAAGTCTAGCCAATCTTCTTTGTGCGAGTTTGAGTGGTGAGTCGAGGTCATTGGATTTTGTGGGAGCGTTTTCATCACGTTCACTTAACCCCAACCCTGACAAATCCTTTTCTAAGTCATCTTCATCATCACTTTCGATTAAACCATCCTGAGGTGTTGAACCATTTGGAGTTTTATTGAAAAGCCCTTGTTGATTTGAAAGTACATCCATTTCTGATTGAATTTGCGATCCAGGGACTGGTGGTGGTGCACCTGAATAGCTTGCACCTGTACTCGTTCCGGTTCTAGCCTTCCAGAAACCCCTCTCATAGACCCTTCTACCAACCCATTCCATACCCCTTAAACACCAATCTTCAGGTAAAGGAGCACCAGATACTAATCTCGAAAGTTGAGGACCTTGAGGTGTGTTACTATTAGATTTTGTACCCTTATCTAATGTGGATTTATTTGGAAGTAATTTTGACAAGAAAACTGATAATTCAATCCAAGGTACTTTCTTTTCCAACAGAGATAAAACTGTTGATTGCTTCAAAATTGTAATAAGGTGTGTCATAACTATAGTAATATAAGGATTAAGAGGTGATCCTGGTAGTTCTGATGTTGGGTTATTAAGTAATAAGTTGAATATACTAAACGTTAACTCTTGGGCATACTCAAAGACAATTTTTGAGGTATTGTATTCTTCACCAGCAGGTTCTTTGTTGAGAGATAGAACAACATCATCATCACCACCTTCAGATCTCGTACTTGCACTAGATCCGGGTCTATTGAGATTCTCAAATGAGTGACTAGATCTTGGACTACTTGATAGTAAATTTTGACTACTTCCGGTTTTAGGATTCGAGTGCATCATAATCGCTTGCGGGAGTGCAGGTACAGGGGGCACAGGTGAATTGAAGGCACTAGCTGAATTAAGAGAGTGGTTTGAGGATGATGTATGCAACTGTTTCTGACGTTTGAATGCATCATCGACGGTGTTAGCCGTACGTTTCAGTATGCTGTCATCTTGACCATATTGTAACAAGCTTGTTATATTGACAACTCCCATCATTATCCACACAACATCAGGAAGACTTCCCCTTTCGGCTTTTAGATGTTTAAGTAACTTGTCAAGAGCTTGAGGAAAAGTATCCAATTCTATCTTTGTAAATAAAATACCATGTGCGTAAGTGAATAATTCAGTTGCTCTGTTTTCCAATTTTCTAGCATTTTGCAATTCTGGATCAAAGAGACTGAGAAGAGTCTCTCTAGCGGTGGTGTAAGGATGTGAAGTAGTTAAGGCCTTGCAAAGATGATACAACGCTCTGAGACTTTCATCTGAATCTTGAGAATTCCTACATAATATACCCAAATGATGTTGCAATCTCCCTGTACCTGTATTTCTACGTTAGCAAATTAGTCAAATAGACGGGCTAATTACACACCTGGCATGTCTCTTAAACCCTGACCATACCAATCTCTAGCAACTTGTCTCCACAAGTGACGATCTTCTATATCAAAACCACCAGCTCTAAGTGCTGGAAGACCAACACTGGCGACCTCCATTGCGGCTGGTGGACGGTCATTCTGGGAATCATCTATACGGGCCTCATTCGGACTAGCTGGTGCTGGTGTAGTAAAGCTTGTCGGTAGACTAGTCGGCGAGTTACTACTATTAGCCGACTCAATGGAAGATACAGCCATTCTATATCTTGCGAGATCACCCAGTGCTTCTATCCAACTGGCTTTAAATGGCGAGAGCACGGGTTCCTCGAGTAGATTGGTATAGAAAGCGTAAGCGTGGTAGACGAAATCGGAGAGATGATCTAAAGTGTTATTAGGATTATTGGGATTCAGACTACTTCTCATTTTTTCTAATAAACCATGAAAAGCGTTCTGCCATAGACGCGTCGGTATATTATACTTCTGCGGCAAGGCATGGAGAGAAGTGGGCGTATGAGGAGCAAGAGAAGTAGCGAGGAAGTTGTGATAAGCATCGGCAAGACTATGAGGGGTTAGAAGAGATATGCTGTAAAGAGAAACTAACGCCTTATGCTTGTTTACTAATCTGATCCAATTCAAGTCGTCGTTCGACTTTTGACCGAAAAGGGATACCTTGGAGGAGGTTGTAGCTAACCTGCGCTCGTCGATTAATTTATTCTCGGTGTCCATGATATCCCTATAAGCCCTCTTCAACTGGACCAAAAATGCGGAAGTAGGCTCATCTTTCGACTTTTTTCGAGTTTGCTATTATTTGAAGACTTCGAGTCGTGGCTAGACTGTGATCTCGCATCTCTCCTCTTTCTGCGCTGTTTCTCCTTATCTTTGTAGTGATCTCTGGAGTCGTCTATAGTCGAGGAAGTGGTAGAGAGCGAGTACCCATCCGTTTGACTTTTTCTATTTAAATGTATTAAACTTTAAGGGTCGTGTTTTTTGGATTCGAAAGCAGCTTATTTTGCTTCATACTCCGTCGTC